CGTTGAATTTTTCTAGACTTCCGAGGGAATTGAACCGTATACCTTCGGAAGAGTATTCTGGCAAGGGAGAACAATAATTTACCATCACAAAAATCACAAAATACGACAGAGAAAAGAAGCGGATTGCAAATTTCATTAAAATTATAGAATTTCTTTTTCCAAGATTATTTTAAATTAATATATTTGCAAAAAAAATACCAGAGAAACAACCTGTTCTAGTACATTTGAAAACTGAAAAGAATAACATGACTTAAAGGTACCTATACCTACGTCAGAGTGAAAGAAGCCAATGCTCTTATGCAAGAATAGTTTTGAGCGATTAATCCCTACAATCGTGAAAACTGCCGATTGCTCCCGATGAGGGACATCCTTTCTCTTTTTCTTTCCTTTTTTTTCTTTGCCCTCTGTAATTTAGGTTTTCGATGTTCGTTTCTCATTTCAATCATGACAAAAGTTTAATTCGGGCTCTCTGTCGCTTTTATCAGCAACAGAGGGTGTGTTCGCTTGTAGAATCTTTTTACGGCCACGCCACCACGTTATGACTCGAACAAATTCAGACATGTACAAAAGCGGGGAGGAAGAGCATAAAGCGTATTTTGAGTGAGGCTTTTCCTTCTTTTCCTCCTTCTGAACTGGGACAATCATGATCGAGAGTTTGAGTCCCTCGGGGCTGCGGCCGGAAAGACGTTGACTTACACTGCTATGCTAAAGAAAAGTGTCGTAAGAGCATTCCAGCAATGCTAAATTTCCTCTCGTTAAATACGAATTTTCCTGAAAATGTACGAATATTTTCTTTGGTTTTTTTGAGAGAATTTTCCCCGTAATTTGATCTGGTGAATCTATATATTTTAAGGAGAATCATTCATAATTTGTCTTACAAATATATATTTAAGCGCGGGAAATTTGGCAATATTCGAATGTTCCTGCGGCGTTATTCCTTAAGGAGATAGTACTCCACTTCATGCGCCCCTTCCCCCACCCTCTTCAACCCCTCGTTTGGGCATTATACTAACGAGTACCTAAAGAAGGAACGTTTTGCGCGACCTTCGTCCTTCAGCCACGCAGAATTCTCGAGGCGTGCCTCTTTTTTTAAGCCGTCTACAGGAAAAGCGCCCCTATTCATTGTGTATACAGGAATAAAAAAAAAATTTGACACGGTAAGTTTTGCATGAGAAGAGTTCTAGATGAGGAATGGTTCGAAAGCTTTCCTAGTGTTTTGAATCACTAGGGAGTATGAGAGCAATATATTTCGATGATCAAGCAACACGCACCTCAGTTTTTGAACTTTCTCTCTCATTTGGCTCTCATGCAGGAAAAAGAGCACTGGTTTTAAGGAAAAGAATTCTCTATTGATTTTCTTTAACTATCAGGAGTAATTGATTGAGGGGCTTGGAGGACAAGGAGCATTAATGCAGCATTCTCTATTTCGAGAAATACGTGTTACATGGATCCTTATGGCGGAAAGAAAGTTCAAGCTGACTTTTTGATGCTTACAAATTGGAATTCGAGAGTGAATTTTACACAGAATATGCATTAAGACTAGTTTTACCAGAAATCATTAATATCTCAATTTTTTCAAAAACTGCACTTATGCGCCTTATGCTTCAAGCCCCTCAATTGTGGAAATAACCTCCCAAAAACCAGGTCATTTTTTGTTTGAAAAGATGAGGAGCGGATGTATCTTAACATTGCAATCGACCTGGGTGTTTTTCTGGTTTTATTATCGATAAAATTACTCTTTCATTATTTTATATGCTAATTTACATATTGACTGTGAGCTGTGAAACTATATGAAAACCCAGATCACGACCCCAGTATTTCAAAATTTTCACTCCTCCTTAATTTTTGCATGGAAATATTAGCAGATATTACTGTAAGAAATTTTCAGAAGATAATCTAGAACAAGGAGGGAACATTCACACAACGATTTGTGTAAAAACAATGATCAATAATTGCCCTTCGAAAAATTAGAATATAATGATAAATCTATAACGTCGCAAATCGATAAACATGGTTTGGTAACTATACTATCGATATACGTATTAAAAATCTTTCTCATATTTTATTTAATTTCATTCCACACTCGTACAGCATTAAGAGTTAATTCGACTTATGATATGTGTAAATCGAAAACTAGTGGTTGAAACCGCACTCAAACAGATAAAGAAACAGAGAGAAGAAAATTTATCAAGCGCAAGTATGAGTGAAACATTTTGTAATAGCTTTTTTGACTAAGAAAATATAGGGAGCGAAATCGGCTCGAGCTGTTGGAGAATAAGGAAAATAAGTTAATGTTTCCTTGCCGTTGCGCCTTCAATTTACGACGTCGGCCAGAAAATATCCCGCATCGCGTGATAGTCATTTATTCGAAGATATGCACACACATGGCATCATTTTCAGAGCTTCCCGCCAGTATGTGAAGTTGAACATCGATCCGTTTCTCTATGGAACTACCGCTTTCAATGTATACTTTTTACTGTGTTCTATTTGAATCGTGGTTTTTTTTTTTTTTTTTTTTTTTTTTTTTTTTTTAAAAAAAATATTCTCGACGAGAAAATCAAATTTTTTCTCGCTCTATTTTTGAGAAAACTATACTATCGAAATATGGACCCGAAGAAAATGCCACCGCTACCAAATAAAACAGTAACAACACATTTTTTAAAATCAAATTTTCTTCAGAATTAAACTTATTCATTTTAAATGAACTTAATTATTCCGCCAGAAAATATGGGAAATTATCTCATTTTTAAAACACGAGAGTTGTGCGAGAGCAATAAGTATGCAAAAATTGATGTCATCTCCGACACAACAGCAAAAAGTCAAAATAAACCAACGAGCGAGCTGTGTCTCTCTCCGTCTGGTCCTGGCAACTTTAAAATCTTAAAATTAGTTTGTCATTTGTCAAAAAACGTCACGCAAGCACGCAGAGCTAAGAAGACAGCATTGAAAACATACGACCGTTTTACCCAAGAAATGAATTTGGCCCTTAGTTCATCACTGAGATTGAAATTTTTCAATGCTTAATCATCTTCATAACAATTTTTAGGGGCTGTCGGAAGAGATTATTTTACGAAAACTTGAGATTCTCTTCGATAAAATGTTCCACGTGGATACTAACAAATACGCTCTTATACATAGGGTGTCCCAAAAGTACTGCCCCTTTTTCCGCAGAGGGCGAAAGAATGCAGATATCAAAATGCGGTTTGTGTGAGGTTATAGTCCTAGTAATTACCTATAAAACAAGACCAAGTTGAGCTCTGTAGCTTAAAATTTGACCGAGATACAGAATTTTGAAAGTGACGTGTCAAGGTGCCGCCTACGAGATTTTCAACAGTTTTTTACGGACGAACCCTAGGACGAACAGACACGATGCATCTGCAGGTTGTCCTTTAAGATCCGGTGCAATGAAGTTTTTGAGATGTCAAGCAACACCTGAAACTTACGCAAGGATAAATGACGGTCTCCTCGAACAACAGCAGCAACGGTACCGATTAATTCGTCTGTGGTGGAGGTAGACGGTCGGCCCGGTTTCGCGGGACTTTCCGTCGATTCGCGGCCGCCAGAAAAAGATTTAAACCAACGACCAATGCTACTTCTGTCCAAACAGTCGTCTTTATACACGCCTTTCATTTCATTAAAAGTGTTTTTTACTGACATTCCTCGACGAAAACAATAACGAATAACGTGGTGTTGTTCTTTTCTTAATTCGGTACTCATCGCGAAAGAAACTTCCAAAACGACAGAGGGATGAACTCAGATTGACGTGCCGGGAAAGCTTGACCAACTTGGATGGCACTAGCGGACACTTTCAATCCTGTCGTTGGTCTGCATAGGGGCGCTTACACGTTGCCAAATGCCGCCTAAAACACAGTGTTGCCATATGTTTTTGGCCGCTTCTTCCTCTTTTTAAAACCGTTTCATTCTTAAACTTGGTTTTTTCTTTCGTAAAAAATGTTGAAAATCTCGTAGGCGGCACCTTGACACGTCACTTTCAAAATGCTGTATCTCGGTCAAATTTTAAGCTACAGAGCTCAACTTGGTCTTGTTTTATAGGTAATTACTAGGACTATAACCTCACACAAACCGCATTTTGATATCTGCATTCTTTCGCCCTCTGCGGAAAAAGGGGCAGTACTTTTGGGACACCCTATGTAAGTCTTCATTTTAAAAGTTCCTGCACTCTTATAAAACACGGGCAGAATAATTATCGTGCGGAGAATTATGTTCCTGATGATGGAATTCCACGGGGGATACGGGGATTTTGGTTGCCTCAAATGGCAATTTGATGAGATGGCTATCGCTAGGATGTCCCTAAAGGCGCTCTGAAAAACAATTTCCCGCGTGCAGTTGCATTATTAGTAAGTTCTATTCCAGTTAGTACTTGAGAGTGAGCAGCAGAACTCGGAACTCTTTGCCAGTGGCGATTCTTGAAAGTTGGCAATACTGTATTTACCTACTTCCAAATGCCTGTAAAACAATCGATTCCAGGTGAGGCATAATTGAAATCGATATTTTAAACGGATTCGAATGGAGCAAAAACAGTGTTGCCAACTTGCAAACTTGCCATTGCTCTTTGCTCGAGTGCCGGATAAACTTAAATTGAAACTCATATATTGACAATTATACCGTTTCGTTATTACTGTCGTGCTGAGGAAAAACGCCGTACGAGCATTCGAATGCTGCTAAATTTCCTCTCAAAAAACATTTACTTTTAAAGAAAGTTACGCATGTTCTTCCTGGAAATTGTCAAATGCTTTAGAACAAATTGTGAACAAAATTCTCTGAAAAATTTGAAGAAAAATATTTATACATATTCCCGAAAATTCGTTATTTTTCAAAGGAGATTTGGCAATGTCTGGAGGTTCATACGGCGTTTTTCCTTAGCACGGCAGATTAGACGGATGGATGATCGAAAGCTCAGTGAGGATGCACCGCAGCGCACGGCGGCGCTGAAGCGAGAAAGTTTAGAATTGGAAGAGCGGAGCCGCAACCGATTATCGGCCTCGTTTTGTTTGTGAATTGAACACGTATGACTCAAGGATCAAAGATACCGTATCGCTCTAGGTTCGTCACAATTCTTTCGCGAACTCCTCGCGCGATTTAGTCTTCGTTTTTGCCGTTCGACTTGAAGTTGAAGTGCTCCTTGGATTTCAGTGCGCGCGCCCGGAGCTTCGACATGACCCCACCTGCTTTCATACAGGTAGGAAACGAACCAAGTATATGGAAAGCTTCTAGGCGGAGGACGGGGGTTTGAGGCGAGCCAAGGACGAATCTTGAGGGGTAAGGCAACGAAGGAGGTAAAATTCGGTTCAGGGGAAGGGGTTGCGATACTTCAAAATATCTCGGAAAATGCTGTAAAATCAATCAAAAATTACCAGAATTGGACGTATTTCTATGAAATGGGACCAGAGACAGGTGGGAAATAAGGGATGTGCTCGTTAGTTGAGGACCGTAAGAATGGATGGGAATTATAAAGCGCCAGTGACGTCAGCGGCAACGAAGGCGTTTCCGTTGTTGCCCTTGCTCGGCTTTAACTCGTGAGCCCTGTCCACAACGTTCCTTTGCCATTCCCATGGCTCATGAATGCCGCGTCCAATCGGCACACAGTTTGGTTTGACAAAGTGTAAGATCCCGTTTTTCCATTTCTCCAAAAGAAATCACGCCCACTTTAACATTTTTTCTTATGCAGCTGTTTAGAGCAGACCCCATCTTTTCAATAGTTCTCTTTGGCAAAAAGACGTCCAATTGTCCCTAAAAAAGATACAACCCTGTCCACTCTTCCTAAATGACGCCCCTAGCCTAGCTGCGTGACACCTGCTCACACATCTTCCTTGGTTTCAGATTAGCACGTATCCACTAATCTTATCCCAAGAATCAAAGAGTCCGGAAAGTCAAGTGCAGGAAAAGTTCCGTGGAATGATTGGAAAAGTTCCCGACGGCTCTGCACTGTGTGGGTGATCATCTTGGGCAAGTGTACGAGTGTGTTTGTTTTTCGTGTAATTTCCGGGGAAAGATTATCTCAGCCGGGACTGCCCGGGAAAGGAAAAGTTTTTGCTTAGATATTTAGCGGGAGTATAGGTAGAGGATATCTCACATATATTTTGAACAAAAAGCGAGCCAAGTAGTAGGTACCTGCTTTACGATGGAATAGACAGTATTCCAATTAACGCGGATAAGAAGTCTTGATAACTGACCCACATGAAAAGGCAGTACAGTTAACCACCCGAGAGCCTCATCGCACCCAGTAAAATCTCCCCACTAAAAATAACGTTTACTTATCTTAGAGAGGATGATTCAAAAATGCGTGGAGCTGAAGCGTGAAGAACAGTTGGCAAAATACCTGCCTTTATTGTAGAAATCAATCGTGTATGAAAGAACATCATATACATCGAACCGCTTATCATAAGCAGTTAGGTTGTTCCAAAAAAATTAAAAAAACGTATACAGGTGCTCTGAAGTACAGAAATACCTGCCTTTCCGATGACTAAGTCTGCCGTTAGAATAACGCCCCTGACCCTGAATAACTGTCTGATTTTTTCAATACTGATTAATTTGTTTTTAATCCTTTAGTTTTTGCTCTAACTCATTACTCTGTGCCAAGGAAGTATTTTATCCCGAAATTCTGCATTGATATAAGGTACAAGAATGATTATTGTAGGTGCTGTGAACGTCTTAAGATTGTTGAGGCTTAATTCACTAATTCACTAATTTTACGCGATAAAATCTGTGCCAAATTGTGTCTTGACTTGATTATAAGACTTCTGATTTTCTATTCTCTATTTTAAAAACCCTCTTAAGCGCAGTGCTCGAACACCTGAACTTACATTCCGAAAGCACACAACATGTCGGCGCCTAGTAAAGGTTCTTGCAGATAGCCTTGTTGTGCCTTTATTTAAAGCCGTTGTAAGTATCGATTCTAGGCTAGTCAAGCTGCCTCATGCCCAGAATCGATCAATTTACATTAAATTAAATGAGAGGAAGCAGTGTTGCCAACTTGCAATAATCGATAATTTACGGTGGGTAGGTTCATTCATAACGATACCACGACGTGGAGGGTAAAGAGTTTGGTAGAACATTTGAAACTCAATTTCTCTGTCTCGTCTACGGCACAGTTTTCCCCTTTTGACACTAATAGAGGGTATAAACTATGACGTCAAGTTGTGATCGCTAATATCGCAAAGTCAGGTGGCGCATGGATGACAGCACGTCTCTTCAATTTTTTCCTATCATAATCGACCCACTGGTACTTATATCTGCCGCGCTGCGACGCGACGTTTGATATAAGCGTTGGTATGTACTATCTGCTTTAAGCGGACGCGGCGCGCGGCGCTTCAAGTCGTTCGACGTCTTCGATACTGCCGTGTTAAGGAAAAACGCCTTCAAGCGTTGCCGAATTTCCTTTGATAAAACATGAATATCTTGGTAAACTTATGATTATTTTCCATCCAATTTTTCAGATAATTTTGTTCGCAATTTCACCTTAAGTCCCTCAAAATTTCACGGAAAAATATTCATGACTTTCCTCAAAAATAAACATATTATATAAGGAAATTTGGCAACTCTCGAATGTTCAAACGGCGTTTTGCTTTAGCATGGTAGGATAGGATGGATTTTATGAGTATTTATCCCTTGTTTTCCTTAGAGTGGTGCCTAGAAAGGGAGAGTATTGACATGCTTGTGTCATTTTCTGATTGGTTTATTAGTTTAATGCTTTCCAAAGGGCCAATGTAAACAAACCCCACGAAATGATAGTTTATATTATCGAGGGAGAAATGAATGACTCTTATATAAAACGTGAAATCCTCGGAAAAAATATCCATCACAGTTTGGGTAGAGCCTCTAATAAAAAATCATATCTTGGGAAATTTGGAAACACTTGAATCCTATTAATAACAACGCGATCTTCTGTAACACAGTAGGCTAGGACATGAGTTTGCTTTGGGTTTATGCCTTACGAAATGCTTCTGCCTTCGGAAAAAAGGAGATTTTCAAAAGTCATTAAAGAGGTCCACTTGAGCCCAGTATGCATGAAGTACGGATGGTGCAATATATAAATGGGCGCATTGCAACAAGCAATCATGGCGGGACAGAAAGTGACAATCCACTCTCCTGTAATGTCCCCCATGACAGTTATTCTGACCGCAACGCAACGGTTGCTACTGTAGTCATCGCATGAAGTTCCGACAAGAGAAATCAACTAACAGTAATTAAAATGACCCAAACGCACACCCTAATGACTAATTCCATGAAAAACGCCATAAAAAATTCGAACGTCGACATATTATTTTAAATACCAATATTTTTGATAGGGTAGGTTGATTTTGAACTTTTTGGCACTATCATAGGTCAAAATTGTTTGTAATTTCTTATTATAATGGAAAATTTCAAAATTGTGGTGAGAACCAAAATTTTTAAAGATAAAGCCCTCTTTTCCCAACACCCAAAGACCAACACGGGCTTGGAGCCCATGAAATTTGAATTCCTTTGAATCAATTCCCTACCTGTCTCACCCCTTGCGGTCGCAAACTTTCGTTCGACCCAAAATAATTGTGATAAAAACCTGGCACGGGTGATCTGAGCCACCTTGTCTTATATGGTCGACGAGACTTTCATTTTCATTTAATTATCTTTTCTTTTCTCGTATGTTAAACTGTGATTTTCCTTCATGCGAATTTCCAAACGGCGTGCTGAACTTAAACGTTATCTTTTGAAAGAGAGAGGTAGGCCCTCTGCTCTCTTCGGCTATGGGCCCACGAGTTTGACAATTAGCACATACTTACAAAATGAACAATTATTTATTTTTCGTGGCGTTGCATGTCTTCGACTAGTCAATTAGAACCGCCCTCACTTTTTGAAGCTAAACTGCTCCATCTCTATTATTTCGTGCAAGGGAATGCCGCTTAGGCATTCAAATGATGCAATAATTTTTACTAATAAAATGATTCGTCTTAAAAAGAGAATTTACGAACTTAATTTCTTAAAAATTTCGGATTCGCTGAATTCAACGGAGCATACAATTCAATGCAAAACCGGAAAAAAGAAGGAAAAAAATCACAAATTTCCTATAAAACGTGAACATCCTTGAACGAGATTTAGTCGTATGTCTCAATGCTCGTACGTAGTTCTTTCTCGGTCAGGTAGTACTGCTCTAATATCTTTGCATGATTTTACTACGCCCCTATTTCTCCTCAAAAAAACTCACGAAGATGTATTATTGTGTTTCAGTAACATTTCAAAATGGCTCCGAATATAACGAGCACACCGACGCCTCTGTTTCTGGCGGAGGCGGAATTGATTTCTCCTCTGAGGTACCAGAAAACTAAACCGCAAATTTCAACGCCGTCGTACACAAAACCACCGCAAAAGAAGAGCTCCTCTCAAAACCAATACCCATGGCAAATCGTTTGGCGGAATGTGATCGCTTTTGTGTACCTTCACACGGCAGCTCTGTACGGCTTATACCTTTTCATCTTTGTCGCTCATAGATACACCGTCATCTGGGGTAAGTATCTCTAACACATTAATTTTTTTAGCATATATATTTAGAGGACGACATAGCTCGGTACTCCTTTACTAACACCTGACCCGTCCTCAACTGATGCCTTAATTTGGTCGAAAATTACGAATAACACAATCTATATTTCCAAAGTTTTTGTATCCAGCTCTCGTTAAAAATCAATTTAACAACATATTTTCTTAAAGCCGTACCAATTTTTCGGAAAATGACATTTTTCTTGAAAAGCCTGTTTTGGAGGAAAATTTTCGATTTTCCAGAAACTTGGTGGGTGTAGTGCCTAAAAACAAAAGTCATTTTCGAACTTGGCGCTAAAAATTACATTTGAAGCACCTATTGAAGGCCTGACGTCAATTCTCTGAATTTTTTTTTCTGCAGACCTACAGTGGCTGTAGATGACCACGTTCGATAAGCTATAATCGCCGATATCAGTCGATAGAATATATTTTGATGGGAACTCATTATTCAATCATTTAAGGGACTTAGACCAATATTTTAAGGCCCTTTTAAAGAGCTTCATTGGTTTACGAAACCGCAGGGTAACCTTTAATAATAGTGCTTTGTCTGTAAACGAGAAGGGCTCGAGCACTTGAGGTTGAGAAAGGTTCCGAGGAACGTCCTAAAATAGCTTGATGGACGGAGATAATCGATTACCGTTTGGTTAACGGGTACAGAGCAAAATATACTCGTCTTGGCTTATTTTTTATTGAATTGTCCTTCTACACTTCAGCCTATGTTGTCTATCAATTGCCGCTACTAAGAAGCCTTCTTGATAAGCAATACTCACAATCAGATAGATGGCCATTACCACTGCTGAGTATGTTTTGTTGCCTAACCAGTAAATGAAGGCGTTTTCGCCCGAAATGGAAAAAATCGACTACCACATCATCCAGGCATCAATGCTCGGTTAGGTAGACCATCGTAGTATTGTTGAAGCTCATTACCAAATAATTTTGCATGGCAAAGGCAAATCTGTTGCAAAACCTTGCGTACCACAAGTCAAGAAGAGCGTCTAAAAATGTTTTGCGTCGTACTTTTAAACTCGTATTTTCTCTATCTTAATTTTCACTCCGTATTCCTTTTTTATCAGAACGTTATATTCGTTGCTGATTTGAATTACCTACGTTAGGCAATCGGTAAAGGGATCTCATGACTTCAAAGGTGAATCAATAATAAATTACAAATTCAAAGGCAAGTTAAGCTTCATAACGAGAAAATGAATTCAAGTAGAAAAACGAGAGGGATGAAGAGATATAGTTTTATCAAATTAGAAGAACTTTCAAGAATATAAAAACCGTGAATTTTTATCCTACGTAAGGCTTTCAGTTGGTAAATTATCAACCAACCTACCCTCTGAGCTGGGCCTGAACTACGACAACCACGCCCATCAAGTGTCAGACTTCCGTCAATTAAACCGTTCATGAACGTTACGTTTTGCGGATCAACCCTCAACAAGTCTTGAAACAGTCAACTATAATCAATCAATTTTAGTCGATTCACAACAACTAACAATTTATCTAATCGATTTTAATAGACCCTCGATGCCTTTGATAGCTATTAGCTTTTATACTCGTAGTCTCCAATAGCAGAACAGAGTTGCCAAATTTACCGGGACAATTTAGACCCGAGAGTGCTAGCTCTGAGGCCAAAGGGTTTAGAGCAAGAGAGAACTGCCCTCCCCTCCCTCCCCAGAAATGAAAAAAAAAAAACCGAAATAATTGATAGAAAGTTTCTAGACAGAGTTTTTCAGAATCGTCGAAAAACCCGCGCCCCATCTCCAAACAAAAGTTTGCATTTGAATACAAATTTGGTTCTCTGAACCCCTTAATACGAATCTCGGAGTCCTCACAAGCGAAGGGTAGTTCAAAAAAGCTGCCAAAATGTTTATGATCTGTCTTAATCCACTCTGAGAGTTAGGGTAATCTCTATCGACTTCTGAATAATCCTATTAGCATAAGTACGGAAAGCTTAAGAAAATATGTTTAATCTTAGCCCGACAGACTTGGGTCAAAAAGCGGGCCTTCGTCCTACGAAGTACAAATTGAGGGATGAGGAAGAAGTGGAGGAATGAAAAGATAAGAGATAGAAGAAAAAGAGGAAGTAGAAGAAGAAGAGGGAGAAAATATAAAAAAACCGAAAGAATGAGACAGATATAGAGGACAAAAGGAGAGGAAATAATACGAAGAATAAGAGTAATTATTCTTCTTTCTTTTTTCCTTTTTCCTTTTTCTCGTCTTCCCCTCCCTTTCCGCGATAGACTTTTCCCCGCACTATAAAGTACCAGTACCTATTCCATTATTATTCTCTTTGTTCTATTTTTCTTCCAACCTTCTAAATTTTACGCTTGGCTCAGGGGTACGTGCCTACTTTTGATATATTATCTCATGTTAATTTTTCAACAGATGTAAATAGCCTCCGATCTTAAGGCACCTCGTAAAAATAAACCCATTTTACTATCTCTCTTTTCTTCTTCTTCTTTGCCTTTTTCTTTATCCTCTTCCTTTTACTCTTTCTTCTCTACTTCTTCTCCTTCTTACTCTAGTTCCTCCTCTTCTCGTCCTCCTCCTTCTTCTGCATCCTTCATCCGATTTTTAGCGCGTCCTCATCAATACGTCCTCATTCACAAACACGTTAAGAATCCAAAAACCCAGCAGGTCTGTCAGACTAGGGTTGAATGATGAATACATGGCAGCACTGGGAATCCACAACGAAGTAGAAGTTGGTAGAATACGCCGTCTGCCTCGGAACTTACCAGCAAACTTGGGTTTCGCCGAGACATTGTTATTCGCGCGTCCTCACCCCTTACTCCGCTGCAGCCTTTCACATCCTCTTTGAATGACTCATTAGTCTGCGTCGCGGCGCACAATGGATCGAATCTATAGGAGAAGTCGGACAAAATTTGGAAACTTTAAACGCTTATAACTCCGTTTGCACAAGACTTTGGAGTTGTAAAAGTGGTTCCATTGGTTTTCTCGTGAAATTTCTTCAAGAAACACCCTTGATAGTTTAAAATTTGACGAAATGAACATAAAAATTTGCAGTTTTAGTCGGAAAATTCTTGTCCGACCTCTCTAATTGACTCGATCCACTGTACGGCGCGCGGCGCGGAGCGTCATTGAATTAACGCCTCCAGTCGGGTAATTTTGCCTAATTACTTTTTTGGAAGAAATTCAATTGCACGTGGCTGTTATTGTAAACTCTTCATCAGTTACGTAAATGAAGAGCGCGACGTGTATAGCACGTATGTGTACTCTGACGTGCTAAGGAAGAACGCCGTATGAACCTTCAGGCGTTGCCAAGTTTCCTTTGATAAAATACACATTTGTTGAGAAAGTTATGAATATTTTTCTTCTAATTTTTCAGACAGTATTCCTTGCAGTTTAATCCAGAATATCTGAAAATTTCAAGAAAATTACGCATGTAACTTCCTTCAAAAACAAATAATTTATCGGAGGAAATTTGGCAACTCTCGAATGTTCGTACGGCGTTTTCCTTAGCACGGCAGTATTGCGTTGCATCAGTATTGGTGAAGTTCTGCAGCGCCCTTTCAACACCTGTCAAATTACCGTGCCATATAAATTAGGTTAAATTAATGGGTAATATCTGATGAGTTGGGGGGAATTGAGTCTATTTTTTTAGTTTTGAAAATTAAATACCGCAAAGAATCATGTAAAAGTTTGTATGGTTAGAAAATGCCCAATCGTAATGGAAGTCCAATGTTGCTGCCGATAAGTTTGATGAATCGGAAGTATACAAAAATTCTCAGATTACAATTCGCACAGTCTTATGACAAGCCGCGCAGGTCACCCGACCCGATTTTAGGTAAATCGCAAGACAGGAATTTGTAATTGATCAGGCTAGAATCGCAAAGAAAAACTGAGAGGAACGTAAAAACTTAGCAGAGCTTCTAGCTAGCTAGGCCTACTACATGATATCAATAGCCACAGTACAGAAAGTATGCCGTTGGCAATGTCTTACACTTCCATGTCATATTTTGTTTTTCCCTTAGGAAACCAGTCAACTTATTTTCTTGAGAATTTCTTTGATTGTTTTTCTATTCGTAAAAATATCAAGCAATGAAGTTTACTTGTTTTTCTTTCAAAAAATGAAATAGGAGCAGGAGTTTTGAAACACCCCAATGGAGATAAGTAAAGTTTCGCACTTTGGCCATCGATATCTTGATTGCAAAGTTGGAAAATTCCGGAAGGCCAAGATGGCGTTAGGCCTCTTCTGCAATCTTGGATTTTTGAATTTCGAAATTCTTACTGAAGACTTCTAAATCAAAAGATACCCCCTCGCACCAAGTTTTACGAAAATCGATCAAACAGAGACCGCATATCTTAGGATCGGTGAGATTTAACACGGTGGTAAACGACGCCAGTCAATTTTCGTGTGATGGGCGCCTTCATTTCCGTCTGATACTGTGCAATACGTCCGAGGTGGAATAGTTGCTCAGAGCGCCTGCAGCATTAATTCGACTCGCTACATTTGATCGTGGCGCGCGGCTCTTAGAATAATGATATCAATAGCCAAAATACGAAACCACGTACCTCTGTTTGCGGTTTGCGATGCTGTGGACTCCTGTCATATTATGTTATTCCTTTGGGAAACCGGTCAACTTAATTTCTTGAAAATTTCCTTGCTTTTTTTCCTATTAACAGAATATTCCGTAACAAATTTCAAGCTACGTAGATGACTTGTTTCTCTTCCAAAAACAAAATAGGACCGGAAGTTTTGAAACAACAGTAGAGATACGTGGTTTTGCACTACAACCATCGATATAGTACGTCAGTCATTTTTTGATGCGGGCTAACATTTATCCCTGCATCCTCCTTTTCACAAAAAACGCTGACTCTTTCTTTACTAATATTTAAATACTACCCTCCCCTTAAAGGTTCGTAACAGACGTATGATCTTTATTATTCACTTTTGGTTGTTAAAGTTACCAGCAGCGAGTGAGATCACATACGAGGGGCGAAGGGGAGGGGAAGACGGCGGGGGACTTCTCAGCAAACTTAATGAAATTCCCATCATAAAACTTCGCCATAATCTATTGCCATGAGGTGCGTGATGGTCGTCGAGTCGAGCCTTGTCGTGGAAAGTGAAGCTCGTTTAGTTAGTTCCAGTGTTTTTCTTTGGCAAGAGCACTGAAGTCTCCGTAGAAAAAACGACTATGCAATCTTTACTACAGCTGTACAGCTGTATATACTAATCTGAATCTGATCGAGTGCGACGTGAAGGTCCGCTTTGAGAGGACTCTTTTGATGATTCATTTAGAAACAACGTATGTACAACCACTTCCCGTATATGCACATAGATGTTTGTATGGATGAGCCATAATTGAGGCACTGGATGGGAAAAGGGCACTTCTCGATTGCAGTGTTTCAGAATCTCTGTTGCTAATGAATCACTTGGAGAAGAATTGAATGGGTGATTTTGCCAGAATTCTTCCCATAGAAAATTATAGAATCATAAGGAATATTCAGTGAAATTTTTAGTGAAATGGATGCATTCACTTTCCTTACAATGAATGAAATATCAGAGGAGACTCTCGGAAACGCTGCAACAGAGAAGTGCTCTTTTCGCATCCAGTGCCTCAATTATATGTACTGTTTTTCTTCCAAAATGTGGTCCAATTGAGGGGACAAGGTGGATGGATTCGCAGTCTTTGCTAATTCGAGGAATACATGTTTGAACTTTCAAAATTATCCTTACGGTGGAAAGAAAGTTCAAACTGGCTTTTTGGTGCTTAAGAATTTTAATTTGGAAGCGAATTTCTCTCAGGATACGCATTTGGACTAGTTTTACTTGAATTCATTAATATCTCAATTTTTCAAAAACTGCACTTATGCGCCTTGTCCTCAAAGCTCCTTAATTAATCCCATTAATTGATAAACGATTCAGTTGTAAACGCAGAACTTTCTATAAAATTGAAAAATATCAACAAGATTGTATTTCTAGCCATGACGATAGTTTCGTTACTTCTGATTGTATTTGTTATTAAGTTAGTAAAATAACAAAGTCAACTTAATTAATCGCGATGTATTCTCCATTTCAGGCTTCTTGCTGGGCTCAGTTGGAGCAATAGGAATCACAGCAGGAGCACATCGTCTTTGGGCTCACAAAGCGTACAAAGCCAAATGGCCAATGAGAGTGTTTCTCGCCATGTGCCAAACGCTCGCATTTCAAAATCACATTTATGAATGGGTCCGAGATCACAGGGTTCACCATAAATTCACTGACACAGACGCAGATCCCCACAACTCCAAGAGAGGATTCTTCTTCTCCCACATCGGATGGCTCATGCTGAAGAAGCACAAGGATGTGAAAGAGAAAGGAAAAACCGTCGATATGTCCGATCTAGAACAAGACTGGGTCGTCATGTTTCAGAAAAGGTAATTGAAGTTGCATTATAATGTATCCAATACTACCGTACTAAGGAAAAACGCCGTATGAACATTCGAGAGTTGCCAAATTTCCCTCCATTGAACATGTATTTTTGACCACATCCATGCATATTGTTGCATTATAATGTATCCCATACTGCCGTGCTAAGGAAATACGCTGTATGAACATTCGAGAGTAGCCAAATTTCCCTGCATTAAACATGTATTTTTGATCAAATTCATGCATATTTTCCCTTGAAATTTTCGGATATTTTAGATTAAATTGCGTAAAAAGTTATCTGAAAATTTTGGAAAATAATATTCGCAATTTTCCCAGTAAATTCGGTGTTTATCGGAGGAAAATTGACAACGTCTGCAGGCTCATACAGCGTTCTTCCTTAGCACGGCAGTATATCTTATGTAATAGAAGCAGAAGTCGTCACACAGTTCTTGTGAGTTCGAATTCCCTGATGAAAATCCACATTCGACAGGGTGAGCGAAATTCGCCTTCAAAATCATGAATATGCAACTTTGCGACAGCTATGATTGACTAATAGTGTATTTGCAGGTGTCTGAGATTCGATAAATTTTGTATTCAAGTGGAAACTATCGAGTGAACAGAACACGAAGATATACTTGGTTCATAAATCCTTGGGAAAAAATTATAAAAGTAACGGGATCCGGCACAATTATTGTAGCTTTAATAAACTGAAAATCAAAATCTCAATAAGTCATCAAAACGCACAGCCTTTCATGTTTTCATTTTAAATTTTATCGTAGAAAAGTATACAAAAAATATGAGAACTGGAAACCAACTCTCAGGCGAGTAACCGATTCTCATGATGGATCGAGATACGTAATCTTGTCCCTGTGAAAATGACAGTCAACTCTTAAAAAGATGGCTTGGCTAATTTAAGGGAGAGCATTTTTAGTTCACGGAGAGGATCGAACATCTCATGAAATGGCGGGGTTCGAGAGGCTTTCTCCAGTCACGACAACACGATCATGCAACACGCACGCAAGAATATTAAATTCACATTCACATTGAATCGATTTTTTGATTGGGAAATTATAGGTTTCTCGCGAGAAAAATTTCACGTACTCCGAACGGACGCAACGTCTTCAAAAATGCATCCGACCTAGCGGTATATCGTGTGAGTTTTTGTTCGTTTCAGGTTCCTCACTGATAAACGAATCAAAACTTATTTTTCTTGCAGGTACTACATGTTACTTTTGCCTCTCCTGTGCTTCGTGATTCCGGTATGGATACCCATCCACTTCTGGAAAGAGGACTTTTCTACTTCTTGGTACTGTGCTGGAATACTCCGCTACACTTTATCGTTGAACTTCACCTGGTTTGTGAACAGCGTTGCACACATCTGGGGAATGAAACCTTATGATCGGTAAGTAATCTTAACTTGAGCGATTACTCGTCGATAACGTAAGTACTACCGGCCGAATAGTTATTCGTTGGTACCTACTTAAAATAAATCGTAAAAGCCATCTTAACCCTCTATGGCATAGCGTTAGGAATTTGTAACAACGTAGAGATTTTAAGGAATTTGCTGCGTGCTATGCAGAAAATTCACTGAAATCTGCACTTAAATCCGTACGACCGTTTTCATGTAAAAAATTAAATTGCTCAGTTAAATTTGGCAGCAGCTGATGTGGCTTGGTTCCTTTCTGCTTAGCGGGGTCCAACTGTTAGTTTTTGGCAAATTATATACTTATACTCTCCAGACGCGGGTTTAATTTCCCAATTTACAATGGCGTAAATATAGCGTGGCATGCTTTGCGATATACCGATTGATCTGACATTTAAACCTATGGAAAAAGATCGATGGACAGGGTGATCGCAACGAACACCTCAAGAATCGATATTTTACCGTAGCTGCAAATGGGGAAACATCGATAATCGATCATTCACGCCTCGCCACTGTACAACGCGGGATTACCCGCGCACTCTCTCTTAGAGGAACGGCGCGACGGAAGCCCCCGTCCACTTCAATCAAAGATGCTACCATCTGAAACGAAATGCAGCTTTAACTCTAGGGTAACCACCGAAATAGAAACTTGGGGTTTTCTATGGTTCTAAACGCACCAGACCTCAAAATCGGAAATTCCATTTTGCATCACCGCGATGAGTTCATTGCAAAAACTCCCATCAGGTGCTAGGTATCAGCGAATCCCATTTACGGATAGGGATGTAATACTCATATAGAGTATGTCTGGAGTTCATGTGGTGTTTTATATCGGAAGTAAATTAAGGTTTATGAGACGATATATGAATTTGAACGATTTTAACCTGACTTTTGAAGAGAAACAGGTCTAACCAACTAATCACTACGTAATGCTCCATACTGTTGTAAATTAGCTTAGAACAGCGTCCCTTCTCACGTGAGGAATTGTTGTCATTTATTTCGTGCTAAAATCGATATCATTGTTCGTTTATTTCTCTGAAGGCACCAGACATGCACCTGAGAGATTTTGGAACTAAAGAAGCTGATCTCATGTTACTTCAGCCATTTAAAATCTCCTTCAGTTACGGCTGATGCAACCATCAAGGCACACAGCATATTCACTCGATTCACTCGGTTTCTAAATTAATCTACAATAGAAATTCTGATGTAAAAAGCATGTTACCAATGAAAAAAACGTTCTAATAAAGAGAAAAGCACGGAAAACTGAACCTATGTAGATGTGCTCTTAGTTTGTCAACCTAACACGACCAATACGACCTTCATTTTGGCACAATACCTTAAATCAGTTCGAATTTGCGTTAGGGATTGTATTTGTTTATCGCTATGAAAATTGAAAATTCTCTTGCCTTCTGTCTTCGCCGGCATCATTTGGACTGCATTTTGGAACCACACTCTTTGGCTTAGTTTAGAAACAGCGCAAGTATCATTAGTTGCCGTATGCACTTACGTCCGTTCAAGTATTATGTTAGGCAATTTTTCCGATTTCTTTACTCTCCCTCCCCCTTGTAACGCACCCGTAACGCGGCCTTACACTTTCCCCTTTTGAATTACGTCACGCTAGCCTGACCCCTCCCCCCTTTAATTTTCAAAAATCTAGAAACCGCTCATTCGGGAAGGGCAGACTTTTCAATTTTTTGCACGTTTTTCTAAGTTTTTTTGTTTCACCGGCTCGGATTTGTCACGTAACGCTGGGCTTGAACCCCCTCCCCCTCGTGAAGAACCGTAACACTAGCTCAAACCCTCCTCCTCCCCCCCCCCCAAAAAGCGTTACGTACTACTTATTGAACGACCCCTTAAGTGTTTTGAAGTTTAGGTCATTATGAATCTCTGAAGTTTTCGGATTGAGCATCCGAACACTTAAGGTCCAGCTGCTGAGGTTTGGATCACACATCTGAAACTTCAGTTCTCACATCCGAAAACTTCGGTTCTCACATCTGAAGCACTTCAGGTGTATGATCCGAACCTCGACAGATAGACCTAAAGTGTTCAGATGCTCAATCCGAAAACTTCAGAGATCCATATGACCTAAACTTCGGGTCCCACGCACGAGGTTTTTTTTCTCCGTGTGGTTAGTCCATCATTGTCTCCCTTAGTCTATGCATAGGAACCACCCATTTCAACCGATAGGATCGCTCCATACTCTCTACGTCTCCTTTGTCTACTGCTTTATCCATCAATTTCAATATTCAGCCCGCTGACCTTCCTAACCCCTGAACTCACCCCTTGCATGCACTCGTGATTTAAACCTTGAATAACATGAGTTTGGCACGCTTTCCAGATTCATCTCTGCAGTGGACAACAAAATCGTGGCGGCGCTAGCTTTCGGGGAGGGTTGGCACAACTACCACCACGCATTCCCATGGGACTACAAAGCAGCCGAGCTGGGCAACTACCGTCTGAACATGAGCACCGCCCTCATCGACTTCTGCGCTAAGCTGGGTCTCGCTTACGACCTGAAGGTGGCCTCCCCGGAGCTGGTCAAGCGCCGAGCCCTGAGAACAGGCGATGGGACGCACCCAGGATCAGCCGAAAAACAAGAGGAAGAGGATGGACATCATCACAGCCACGAGAACGCCGTCTGGGGCTGGGATGACGAAAATATGTCGCCCGACGAGCTGAAGTTAGTCAACATCTTGAACAGGAGCAAACAAGAGTGATACGTTCCTTGGTGCGTGGCCGCACTATTTGCTGTCAAACGAAGTTTTGTCGGTTTTTTCTTGGTTCCTCTTTAATTTAGTGACGTCCTCGTGTATACTGTCTCCTCTGATGAGTGGAAGTGACAAACAAGGACTCACAAGGGGAGTCTACGAAGTGACATCCTGGGATTGGGTTCATTTTGCTTGTACATGAAGAAGAGACAAATCTAAGGTTGACGTATTTTTTTTTAGCCGCCAACTCCCAACCGTTCTCGAGATATCGATTTTTAAAGTTACGATTTTTGCACGTTTCCGCGCGGAGTTCCGGCGAGTCAACTGAGCGCCGGCAAGCTGCACGAAGCGTGTTTCCTATCAGCGCTGCAGACCGGCCATCGCCATCAACAGTACCGTGGCCGAGTGGTAGAGTGTTCGCTTGCGGTTCCATCGATCGCGGGTTCGAATCCGGCTTCGTGCCGTAGCTTTCAGGGTACGCCGCAATGCGTTTTTACAAGTTTTCTTTATTTTTATCACACACCAAGGGGTCCGCCCCCTGGCCACTGCTCGGCCCAACCCCTCGGGGCGAAAAGGCGCGCTTCGCGGCTAGCGAAATCATCGAAATCGACCGTTGACGGTAGCAAATTCAGAGTAAGGAAAAAGTCGTTAAGAATATTGTGTGGTGGGAAATTTTTATTTGAAACATTCAAATCATTCAATTTTTATTCAATCATTTCATTAAAATCATTCAATTAAAATTATTTACCCAGTAACCGTCAACGGTCGATTTCGATGATTTTGCTCGCCGCGAAGCGCGCCTTTTCGCCCCGGGGGTTGGGCCGAGCAGTGGCCAGGGGGCGGACCCCTTGGTGTGTGATAAAAATAAAGAAAACTTGTAAAAACGCATTGCGGCGTACCCTAAAAGCTACGGCACGAAGCCGGATTCGAACCCGCGATCGATGGAACCGCAGGCGAACACTCTACCACTCGGCCACGGAACTGTTGGTAGCGATTGCCGGTCTGCAGCGCTGATAGGAAACACGCTTCGTGCAGCTTGCCGGCGCTCAGTTGACTCGCCGGAACTCCGCGCGGAAACGTGCAAAAATCGTAACTTTAAAAATCGATATCTCGAGAACGGTTGGGAGTTGGCGGCTAAAAAAAAATACGTCAACCTTAGATTTGTCTCTTCTTCATGTACAAGCAAAATGAACCCAATCCCAGGATGTCACTTCGTAGACTCCCCTTGTGAGTGATAAGCCTAAATAGGTAGTGCATGGAAACATAAACAGGAGGACCCAATCGTTGGTTTAGTTCACTTAGACCCTCTGCCAGGCAGCCCTGATGTCACTGCTAACTGTAGTTGGGGGTCCATATTTATTCTCTTGGTCCATGACTGCAATTCAGCAAAAGGGAAAAAAGCAAGCACAGATTGTAGGACAGGGAAAATGAAATAGTCGTTGGTTGTCCCTTAAGTATTGTAACTGGCTCTCACCAATGAAAGATTTTGAACTGCAACTTAAGCAGCCATCAGCAATAACTTACTAGGTTTCTGAGAAGTACTTGAGGAGCTCATTCAGTCAAAAATTTGGTGAGTTACATCCTTTAAAGACTGTTCGTCAAGAGATACGTTTTACTGTTTCAAAGAGTTTTCCAATGAAGGAAAGCAACTTGTCTACCCTATTATCTAACACTCCTTGGCATTTTGCATTACAGATCTTCCGTAAGAGCACAAATGGCAGCGGCTATAGAAGATCCAAGTGTCTTCAAAGTAAAGAAAGCTTTTGATCTTCTTAAAGAAGCTATGGAAGAAGATCAAGACAACCTCATCGATAAAGTTCGTGGAATATATTGCTTCAAGGTTAAAAATTCTGATGGTAAAGAGGGCATGTGGATAATCAATGCCAAAACTGGAAAAGGAAACGTAACTTACAATGGAAAAGGTATTTTTAATCCATACCCAAATGTCTTACTGTTTTTTTTTTTTTTTTTTTTTTTTTTTTTTTTTTTTGCACTTGCCTCTTTTTGTAACTCTCACCAAAAATCTCAAAGTTCTTCAGAGAGATGGCCCTCATTTTGTACTCTTTCAAACTCAAATATAGGTCATCTTCCCTGTAGAGTTGCATCGGCGGAGTGGGATCGTGCCATAAATTTTGATTGGATCTGTGAAACGGACCTTTTCTTTTGGGAGAAAATGTTCCTCAGCTTTAATATGTAAATGCATGGAGGACAAAAATCTAGAAACTTTGATGCAAGTTTGACCGTATCAACTCTTAAATTGAAAGAGATGTCCGTCCTGAAGTTCCGAACCAAAAATTCCTCAGTTGTAGAAGATTGTGGCTTAAGTGTTTGCTAGAAGTAATGGAAATTTTGTTCCTGGTAGATGAAGTCCCTTTTACAGATCCTGTCACAATTGTTTTTTTGTGCCTAATTGAAAGCTGAAGTCTATGTTTGAAGTGGGTCTTTAAAACTTTTGATTTTTGATATTAGGTACGATATTATGTGTGTGTTCTATTCATTTCGGCGCTTTTCAAAGTAGTGTTCAGAATTGTCCCTTCTGATACCCGAATATTGACCAAAAAAGTAATTTTTGGTTGATTGTTGTGTGCTTCAACCATTTGGCATGTATTCCAAATCATGAAACCAGCATTGAAAAATATAAAGTTGATATGAAAGTACAAATTTTTTAGGAATTAAATGCACTGTCGAAGGTTCCTTTCCTGGGTTCCTGTGAATGTCTTAAAATCAGTTGTAAATTAGCTATAAATGTAAGTTCGTTTTCATAAAATCTCGCACGTGTCCTCTGTCTGCCTTATCCATGATTATGCTCGCTCATGTAGGTGACTCAATTTTTTTAAACCTACCATTGCTTTCAATCTCTGTTGAGTCTTGCCGTTTTAGCAACATTTCTACCTCGATTGTACAACTACAGAGGGCCTGCGCATGAAAGTGGTTCAATCAGTTTTGATCAGTTTGGTTTGATGTGTTGATAATTGAAGATTATTAAAATTATGGACACCTATCAAAATCATTAACGTTTGTTGAAATCATCAATAATCGTTGATAAACTTTAAGCTTGTCTATGATCATAGAAATCATTAACAATCATTAAAATCAACGAGCATTGGAAATACCGACAGTCACTGAAGAAACTTAAAACCACCGAAACAATTGCATTGTTTACTTTGTAAAGTGCTCTTCTTGGGACAAAGCAAATTCCGTTTTATTGCTTAAAAGCAAATTGTAGGGTCACAGGCGTACCTACAGCATTTTTTTTATTTTTTATTTATTATTATCCTCATTTTACATCAAAATTTTATGCCCAAATTTCGTTTGCTCTAAAAAGTGCATTATTAAATTTTTTTAATTAAATTATCCAAACCAAGAATCATTCTCAACAGAAAAGTGCATTAGAAGATACCAAGTGGAGACACATGAAATTTTTCAAGTTGGGTTTATTTTACTTGAGAATTCTTAGAATCTTTCTTCTTATTAAATTTTTGGGAGATGCCTCACTCGAGAAATTGCACCCCAGTTTTGCACTTATTTTCGATTTGTAACGTATACGGGGGAATTAAAAAGTAATTGAAACGAATTGGCAAGTTGTATTGAGCTTTTTTTCATACACCCCCGGGGTATGGTATCCCTCACTAAAAATGGTTTTTGTGCTTCTGTTGGTTATAAAAGCACACAAAAAAAGTAAATGAGGTTGGTGAAAAAACATTTTTTTTCTGGGTGATTTGTCATGGAATGACCCTCAGTTACTTGCACATGTCTATCTTACTTACTCTTGGTCAATTTTTGATTCCAGAAAAACCTGATGTAACAATCATCGTTCATGATGATGATGTGGTGGATCTGCTGTCTGGCAAGTTGAACCCCCAGAAAGCATTCTTCCAAGGAAAAATCAAAATTCAAGGGAATATGGGATTAGCATTGAAGCTGACTGAACTCCAGAAAAAAGCATCCGCTAAAATTGAAGTGCTCCGAGCAAAATTGTAAAATGGTGATTTTCAAGTCTGAGAATATCTATATCAATCATTCCTTCTACCTTACAGAAAAAAAGCTGCTGGTGAGTTGTTTTTTTTTACCAATCAATGGAGAGCATTAATTTTATTTTCTTTTTACACCTCCAATGAAATCTGTGAAACACAAGCTTGAAACTCACTTGCTCAAAAATAAATTAAAAACTTGATGATGCATTTCGGACATCCAGCTAATTAATGTCAGGTTCATTTCTCTCCGTAATATTTTCGTCTCTCTTCTATTAGCGCTATTGTCCAGTATTTTTAAACCAAACGCGGTCAAATCTTTTACCAAGCCCCCTCAATAGAGAGAGAAAGAGAGAGAGAGGGAGAGGGGGCTTGGACAATCATATAAAAAACAATTTTTTGCTTAAAACTTTTGAATGATTTTAGATACAGAGCTAAACTTTGGGTTCTCAAATTTATACCATTGGTTAATTTTCAACCAGTTCATCGCTCATCAAAAGTTTCATCCATCAAATCAAGTATCAAATTTTTCGTCAGTGCGAAAATCGAATTTTCATAGTGCATAGGAGCATGAGCTGCATGCAGATGAAGATAAGATGGATGCGTGGTTATTTATATTCTCCACCCTTAGAGGCATGGGCAAAGTGAGTTTTTAACTTTTGTTTCATTTATTATGGAGAGTTATTTTTTGTTTCATTTTTTATATTTTGGATTTATTCTCCTTAATAATTAGTGTCAGAATACTCTTGTTTAGAACTGACGGAAAAATTTATGAATCTTTTATTTTTATATAAGTAACCTGTGGTGATATGTGAATTTACTTCCTCTGCTGTCTCTAGTTTTAAGTCAAAGATCTTATTTTAAATGCAATTTAGAAGTTAAGTCTACATGTTGCATGTTCTTGTTTTTATCTAATTTTTAATTTTTTTGTGTGTCTTTTCAAAAAACAAAAACTTGTCCTTCCACAATTTTGATTCCGAATCAATGCAAGTTCTTTTCAAGCTAAAAAGATAGGTCTTAATAAGTGTTCTACGGGTGCTCTTCTACATCTAATGTTATAATCGTTGGGATTATTTTCTCCTCTGGGTGTCCAAAACAAAGACATTTAGTACATAGAATATTTTAGGCCGTGGGGTATTTAAGCATATAGCATTTTAAAATTATGTATATTTTTATTTTTTACGGAAGATATACAATAAATATCTTTTATTATTATTTATTATCCTCTCAATTTTATTCTTCATAGAATGGTAGTTTAGTCTTCTCCTGTCAAATCATTTCATATGAGAGTTCTTTTTAAGAAAAATTAAATAACTAACAAAGCTCTGAATACTGAAAAAAGCTCATGTTGGCTGAAATACATTTACTTATACATATATATGACAGAAATTGAATGGCATGTTTATTCGTGATCTACGACTCGAGATCGGTGCTTTTTACATGGTCCCAGGTTCAGGTCCCACCATGAGAGAAAGTGCAATAGTGTATTCCCTTCGGAAAATACACTAAAAAAAGAGAGGGCGTCGATCCACCAATTTGTATTTTGGGAGCTATAATCAGCTCAATAATGGTATGAACTTTGAAGGAGCAACAACTGATTTAATTTTATAGTGGCCTGGTATAATTAACAGAGGAAGGATGACTAAAAAACATACATAAAAAATTGCGATACACAGGAATTAAAATGAAAACTTATAATAACTTTGATGTTCAAATAAAAAACAAAATTTTCGGACAGACCGACAACCAGAACTTGAAAACTTCAGATTTTTAAGCGAATTCCCGTCATGGAGCTGAAGTGCTTGTGCTGGTTCTAGCTGTGCCCTTCATGGCGCCTAACGTGAGGGATTGCTTGGAGACCCAATAGCTGGATGACTGATTTTTCGACACGAAAAAGAGAGAGCTAAATCGGGGAGTCACATCATACATTTTGCGTTTTCGCAGAGATTCCATGAGATGTCATACATTTAGAGGAGAATCCTGCTGCATTTTTGTGACCATTTCCTCTTGCTATGTTTTTTTATTTGCTCACTAGTGACCGAGGTTTTACAGATGTGGGGGCCAAATTCAATTGGTGCAAGAGAAAATTTTCGTTTCAACACCGAAACAGTTGAAATTTTTGTCCAAGGGGCCACAACTCACAACATTCCATGAGGATTGATGTTATGATATGCATACTTTGTTGTCCATCCTTTGAAGTGCCTGAGAGTATTTGATGGGGATGGTGTGGAGGGCTGCTGATACTTGTGAGTTGTGTAATATTTGAACACTATTTTTTTTATTCGAGCCACCAGCCTCACACCTGTTGAATAGCCGGATATTCTCATTAGCTTGTATGTTACGGTAATTACTTAAATCTTACCTCAAATCAGTTAAACTCACCTCCCATTTTATTAATAATTGAATTTAACCGAGTTTTAAGAACAAATGTTTTACATCTTTCAAGGTGTACTCCTATTTTGCTTATAAACGCTATTGAAATTTGACTGTATAATGAAAATGGGCATTACGGAGGAGGATTTACCTATAACAACTGATCTATTAACTAAGCTTCCCGGCAGCCAAATTGGTGGGTTGATTTTGGATTAATCAACACATGATCAGACTGCTACTTATTGTTTGGGAATGCTCAGGTAGCAGAGCATGGCTGCTGTTTGCTCATTTGTTAATTTATAAATTTTAATCCCAATCCGCCCTGCCAGTTTACCTTCCGGAGTATATACAAGGGTCATTCCGACAGGAAGTTTTTTAATTTCACAGATTCTTTCTTTAACTATGAAAGTCATACAGATTCCAGTTAAGGATAGTTGCACTAGTTCTTGCACTAAGGTTGTCCATGTTGCTTGTGCAAGTATAGTAGCGTTAACCGTAACACCCTATAATTCGAGTATTCATGCACCATCGCCACAGCTTTGCCCAATAGTGCTATTTGAGAAATGTACTTGGCAATGGTTAGGGTAAACTTTTTCAGTTGAAAACTATGCCAAAACTTTATGTAGCTCAAATTGCATTTTCTTTAAAAAGAGGAACGTTCGATGTCAATGCCTTTCAGACAAGAACGGATTTATGAACATCAGAAATGTGTGATACAACTACTTTGTTTTCCAGTAATTCAAATTGCATACCTACCAAAATCAGGGATCACTTAATTTCCCGCAAGACCTTCCACTAAGATTCAAAAACGGTTAAAGGGTGTTTCCTTGCTCTTTGGAGGAGGACTGAGACTACAGAGAAAAAGAGAAATAAAAAGATTTACAAGATAATCAAAAAATGATATGAACAAGCGTGAAAGTTTTGTGTAACAAGGCTGAGATTATCGAATGACTTTAAAAAGGCAAAGGACATGCAAACAGGGGATAGCCTCAGTGAACTCTGAGAGCCCAAATGTAGGTGAGACCGACAAACAGCCAGATTGGAGATGATTTTGATATTGAGTGAGGACTTTCAGTCGAGTTGCACATATCCTCCTCGCAAAAGCACATGTGTCCCGTTCCCGTGCCTTCCATCATGCAGACATGGTCGACCATGAACAAGTTGATTTGCAATTGGGAGGTACACGTCCGTCGCACGCTTTCGTAAACTGAAAAAATTCAAATTCAGTGTAAAATGAAGGCAAATGGCACAGCCAAAAGGCAATCACAACCATTCAGTTCTTGCTAAATTTCCCCGGGTAAAATATTATTGAGAAAATTTCTGAATACTTGCCCACACTGTAAACAGATTCACCATATTCCTGAAAATTTGAGTAAACTTCTCTGAAGAAATTTCCTTCTCAAGAATAAAGATAATATTGGAAAAAGCATGGAGAAACTAAGAAAATGTTAGTGTGCAACTATGAAATCTATCCCAAAGCTACTCAGTAGCTGCATTGAAGTGAGATCAGATATGGATAATTGTATTCACCGCTCCAAACAAAATTAAAAGTAGGATACCAAAAAACAGGATAAAAAGGCTCCACTCTTGGTCCATCAACTTTTTTTTTTTTTTTTTTTTTTTTTTTTTTTTTTTTTTTTTTTTTTTAATATATTATTGTGATCTTCTGCAGTTTCCAGAATTATATACGTTGTACATAAATTGAAATAGAATAGACGTCATGAACAACCGAGTAGTTCATATTTCACATATCTTAAGTCCAAAGACTGTTTGAATAAAAAAACAGCGTTATCATAACCTTACTGACAACAGCGTGATTTGCTGCGCTGAGATGAGAGATGAAATATCATCATGAATTTTGAAGGAATTTCATTTTACAAAGTTTCAGGAAATTTTGAATCTTTGTGCTCCGAGCTTTTTAGGAATTGTCTTAAAATTCAGAAATTATCAATTGCTGGATCGACAATCAAATTGCTCTCCAAAATGCTGAAGAATCACTTCAAGTACATAAAGAGACTGTAATCAATAAAAAGAAATTTATCAGCTAACTGCGCAGGTTTTCACACCTTCCCCCTGGCGCCATGAAAATCATTACACTATTCTCAATTTACGATGTCACAGTCTGAATCATGTTAAAATATTTCAAATGGTGTTTTGGAATGGTGAAATGGTTGAATGGTGGTTAAAATTTAAAATCCTCTCTCCTACTCTTAGCGTAAATTCAGGAATGTTACCTGTTCTAGAGTTACGGACCATCTTGACACAGCAACCATTACACTGATTGATTGGAGGTTGATCTCTGGGAATTGCTGTGTAGTTGAATGGATCCTTGCATCTGTGGTCTTTCCAGCTATCACACTCGTAACAGTATATTGACCGTGCTATAATTATTCAAACAAAAATTTGTTTTTAGATACACGGAAGAGCCTTATGAAAATTTTGTGTTTTAGTAATCGGTACTTTCAATTGATTTCGATCCAATTGCTACTGAGGATAAGAAAATGGAGTGATAACCGCTAAATTTTTCAACTCTTAGAATGATTGAAAACTCCTAATGAGTGGAAAAAAAAGTATAAACCTCATTCAAGTAAAATTTCGTGAGAAACACGTTGGTGTCAGTGATTTTTTTCAGAAACGAATTCTCAAGCTAAAAAAGCTTTGAGTTGAGGCCGAAATAAAGGGGATCTCTTATGTTATGAGAGTCCGCCTGTATGTCCATTGAAACCCTCCGTCCATAGATGAGATCGGGAGCAAGTACATCAGCCAAGTTGCCGTGGCTGTAGCCTTGGTGTCCCCACACAAAGTGGCAACCCTAATCATGTATTTAGTCCCCATCTATGCATGAATAGTTTGACTGGATATAAAAGTGGACTCTCTGACAATTTTGGGGATCCCCTTCATTATGGCCTTAACTTTGAATCATTTTCCAAGTTTCGAAGAAAAAAAAAAAAAAAAAAAAAAAAAAAAAAAAAAACAGTAGCAACATTTTGTATCTTGCAAAATTTTTCCCAGGATTTAAGACCCAAATTCTCGTAGAATTCAAGAACTCCATTGTGAAGGTAAAAAATGCCGACTATAAGCAACTTCGTATGTTAGTACTTGGATGAAAGACTGTTTGGATCTAATTGAACTAAGGGCCCAGAGTGGTGGTGAGAAATTAGTTCACTTTAGAGTCCCACTGTGCCTCACTTGAAGGGTGCTTGGTATTTGGCCAGTTCTGATGAGTGTTTAACTGATCTAGTGCTGATGGGAGGCTATCATTACACTAATGAATTTATTAATCATTTAATGCAGGTCTAAAGCTAATGTTATGGTTTAAAGATAAGGCAAAATTAGAATTAAAGATGCTCTTAGTGACTTACTTTGACACTCTTGGGCCGAAACTCGAAAAGCAGCAAGTAAAAGGACTGAAAATATAATTTGTTAATGGTTAGTAAGAACATTAATATATTTCATGTGCATATTGAACAGGCTTTCATGCTATAAAAGTAAGGAGAAATATACCTAGGTACGCATTGTTACTTCTTTTGTGGATAGGAACCATCAGTTTACCATTTTACGGACACTGAGGACATACTAGCAAAAGGATAGGAAAGAACACATACCCAGGCAGCCAAAGTTTAGATGACATTGCTATTTTCTGTCAGATTTTTTATGTGTAAGAATATCAATCATTATTTCAAGTATGTACCTATTTGTCAAAATTTACAACTCCGGTCTAGAGGTATTTTTGCTCGACGGCAGAATTCACTTCTTCACTTGAACAGTGGGCTCTAATTCAGGCTCAGACTGTGCAGATTTTATGGTAAGCATTTGAGTCACATCAAACCCTCTTCAAGAGTGGGTGTCTGAACATGATTGCTTATAGCAAGGAGAAATTAAAGTAACAAACTAATTTAAGCTGCCAATGGCTCTTATCTTACTCATGTACAGGCAGTTTTCGTTTATTTCCTATCTCGTATCGTTATTTAGCAGTCATTTGCAACTCCTTATTTACGTATTTTATAATTTTTCGTTTGTTTTGATAACCTGTTACCGATTTTATTTTCTTCATTCTCATACACTTTATGTCAATTTGATCTTAATTCTGTTTGGTTCTATTTATTTGCTTTTTGTAAATAGTTAATTAATTTAGGGGTTGATAGGGCTTGGCCTTGAGAGATTGCCTAGTTAGCTTTGCGTTTTTACACATAATGTGATATAGTTTCAGAGGAGAATCTTTATGTGTTTTAAAAGGTAAGGGTTACATTTCTATTTATTCACAAATAGGTGTGTATCAATCGCACCACCTCCCATTCTGAAGCTGAAGTACCAACAAACCGTCTCACCTGCAGCCTGCATAAGCTGGCTGTGATAATTGCTCAGTTGTAGTTGATCAGACAATTTTAATTTGCAGTTATTACAACATTTTATTGAGATTGGAATTAAAGTGAGGCTAAAGCAACAATTTAGATTTGCAAAAGTCTCGATTTCTCTTTGCAATTTCAGTAAAAAGTGAACTTATTTGCAATTTTAGCATATCTGCAATTTTGTCAAAAATTGTAATTTGAAATTTAAGCACGAATTGCACCTGTGATTTCATTAGATCATTAGTCAGAAGGTTCCTTTGTTAAAAATCATATAGTTTCTGGGAGAACTCTTTCTTTTTCAGGAAAAGATTCTAGTCTGCTATGTTAAGTGAAGGATTTGGAATATTCATAGATTATTCTCTGTTTTCACTGTGCCATCTGGGTGGCAATTTGCGGAGTAGCAGATAAGTTGTTCCATCATTTTTAATCACTCATGGGCTGCCTTGAATTATTCAGTACTTCTTATGGAAATTTCTCCCTTACATCACTAATTTGATTCAAATAAGCCAATGCAGTATGCTTTTGTGTATTATTAAAGATGAGCCAATTTAATTTTTTTTTAAAATCAAATATTTGCCCTGATATCGATTTGAAAGAATTTTCCAAACATACTTTTAGAATTGAAAGGAGTTTCTTTATTGCACAAAATCGTCTCCAAGCACCACCACCACCACCACCCNTATAGCTTTTGACTAGAACTTAGTCTTCTCAGAAATTATGCGGGTCACGGTTTTCACTCAGGTAAAGGTTCTCTTGAATTGAATTTAGTTAGGCAAGTGCTAGTGTTAGAGAATAAAGCAACTCTTTTGCAAAAAGGAGTTTCAAAACTACATGAATAAGATAAAAAGTTAATAAAGATGATGATTTTGTCGAAGCAATTTGGAAGATTAGTGGATAACATTTATTTGAAGAATTACTTGAGCTTGTGGATTAAATGCCAAACTGAAAATAATCGAGAGTACCTTTGAATTTTTGCCTAAAGTATTGAAAGCACTCCTAACATTAACGTAAGTGTATTCAAACATTAATTGATAAAATGCCAGTGATGTAAATCGCTGATAGGTAGGTGTATTTAGAAGTTAATTGGTCCGTATGAACGTGACGTGCAACCAAAAAGATGTTATATTTGATACAGAAGTTGATTATTGTATTTAATGAAACATTTTTTTCGTATCCAAATCCTGTTTTTCATCTCTCTGAATTTTACAATTTTCTAGACTTACAAGCAGGGGCTTTTGTGCTTTTTTTCACTTGAAAGTTGTGAAAATTAATGGATGCGATAAGTTGTACATACAACAGTCTGATCATGTCAAGAAATTGGAGGGATTCACCTGAACTTCGTAATCAGGAGATTTTGTTGAAAGTACTGATAGTGTAACAAGGGGTATTGTGAGAAAGTTTAAGGATAATTCATATCCTTGTTGGATTTGAGTGCTCAATTTAGGCACTACCTTTATGAATGGTATTATTGTAAGACATTTTGAATACTTTCCTGGATCAATTTAATTATTATTTGACCTGCCTGAATTTAGAATATGTAGGTTTAAGGCGGGAAGAGGGACAGCTATTTTCCGAACAGACGTTACCTTGTGACCCTATGTTGGAAAGAGCATTTTTTTCTTCTTTTCTTTTCAATTTACAAATTGCAAAAGTACCCGAACAGACAATATTCTAAGAATATTCGCAAAGATCCCTAATTTTTAATCAGTTTCTCTTAGATTTTTTTCGTTTCTTTAGTTTTTGTTCCGATTGTTACTTTTTCTGCTCTTTGATTTTTACTTTTTTTCAAGTTTTGTGTTTTTTTTTTCGGTATACAACAGATAGTGTACCTAAGTTGCTCGCTGAGAAAGCCATGATGGTCATTTGTATTTATTTCTTTGAAAGTTTCTCAAAAAATTTAATTAAAGCTTCTAACTGAATTTTTATTTTTTGCTCTGAATATTCATAGATTATTCGATGAATATTTGTATGCTATCTGGGAGCCATCACCCAATCAAAATTGATAAAGGTTGGAGAGTGTTTCGTAAATTTCAACTTTGACAAGCATCTTTTCGGGTCATGGTAGTAGTTAGGGTCTCTCGTATTTTGCTGCAAAGTGTGTTTTTCATCTTCTCTCCTTTCTATTTCATAGTGTCTCACTGGGTGAGGATCGTCGAAATGCTAATGATAAATATGATGTCCTTAACACCTTCAAGTTAAATTTTTCTTTTTGACGATATCCTAATCGAGGAACACATATTTAGGAGGAAGATAAAAGTAAAAACTACTTAGCGCTAAACAAAGGTCTTCATGAGTTCCAAATGGTGATTTTACACATATACTTGAAATCCCTATAACTTTGACTGCCTACGATTTTGAAAAGAGAATTGGTAAAGACTCGCGATTTTGGCCATTTTTTTCCATGATATTTTTGTATTCTTGTATCTCCTAATATCGTCTCTGATTTTGGTGTCCATCATTATCGTCATAGAACCTATCAGCGACTTGGCTTTGTTTTAATTGAAGAGAAACTGTCTGTTAAGTCTTTTCAATAATTTAAGAATGCAATACCTATTTACTACACCTATTTACAAAGAAAATCACTACTATACAGACCATTCATGAACCCATGAAATCAATCAATTCATCGCTAATTAAGTTGATAAATTCATCAATATTAATTCAATCCTCCAACATGATGCGTCAGCAGCAGTTATTTAGAATCCACATGACATTTCAACAATCCTCTGTCCTATGTGTGAATTGATGACTGATTGTACACTAGAGCTTTTGTCAAATCAAGTTTTTGTTCAAGGGTTTATGAGTTGCCTGTAATTGTGTTAATATTGCTAGAATCTCCCACGCTTTAATTGACAAGTACAATAAGCTGTAGTTAAACCAATTCTATGCGGAAATTAAAGTTGAGGAATGATTACGTTGATATGGAGAGCATTTTGTGTTGGCGCTCCGTACACTATTCATTAACAGTCCAACGGCCAGTAGACACATGAAAAACTGAATAAAATTTGCCATGGTTCAGTGCAAAGAGTTTTCTATTTTCAAAGTCTATTCATTCACTCTCAAGTGTTCCATATCTTCTTGCTTCCATTGACTTTTTTCCACGACTCATTCCATTTCTACCGTGAAGAAAAACGCTAAACGTCAAGAAAGTTTGTCAGTTTCATAACGAAGATACCTAGCTCTAGCTCAGAGGCTCCGAAGAGTGGATTTCCGTAGTTTATAATTAATGTCCAATGATGGTTCTGAGCCATTAATTGACTGTACACACCACTGATGTTTTGCAGAACATGTTTACCTTCAAGAAATTCTTTAAATTTTTACTCCATTTGGATGCATTTTGAGGTTTTTGTCACGCAAATTTTCCTCTCATCTCTTCACATAAGTTAAGCTGTTTTAAGCACTCATAGCTCAAAATACTTTTGCATTACTTATTACAAAGAGTTACATTGCGACAAAGAGTCAACGTTGACGAAATTTTTTCTGACCGGTAGAATTTCTAGAGGAGGCCAGATGATACTTTTTTCAATTCTAATGGGGCGCAAGCCCCCCGGACCCCCCTACAGCCACGCTTGTGGCAATCAATGATCAAAATTTGAACATAAAAATAAGATTGGAGTATCCATATCAGCATTTATAGATGATTTTGACCACCATGAGACCATGAGATGACCACAGATTTTCATGACCTGAAAAATGGGCTGCTTGCCGCTGCTCGCCAATAATAGCAGCGAAAATAGCGAGAATGTGGTGAATATCAATAAATAACTCACTTAAATGCTCAAGGGGCAATTTCCTATCGCATCGGCAGGTGCACAAATAACGTAGTCAAACCAAAATTTCCCAGCTTACTGTCAATTTCCTTCATATAGGTACCCTGACTCGGCCCGGTCGTTACAAGCTCACTAGGTTTTCTAGACTTTTCACCACCCTAGGTGTCTGGATTGGCATTACGATCGCGTTACAAAGGGTCAGTGGTGTAACATCGGGAAAATTGCGTTACGTAACTCATGAACAGCCACTTACTCTGCACATCCTGCTGCAAAATATTTCTTTTGAAAGCTGTTTTGATGGAAGGTTCATTTCTTTTCTTTGGGAGGGGGGGGGTTGCTAATAAAATATCACATAATCTTGCGTTTACGTAAACAGCCAGTCTCTGAAATTGTTGATTTAAAATGCTTAAAACTTCGCTAATAATGAGAAATTCGATTTGAAATTTTGACACAATATTCTTGAAAGAACTCTAGGCAATAATTTTCATCAGAAACGGAAAAATGATAATTTCAATCGGAATCGCGTGGTTTTCTCTCCTGAAGAATTTAGCCTGTCACTGTAAGACCCCCTATCCCCTTGCTCGAACCCTATGAGACCCATGAAGCTACATACACCTATCATCCAGAAATTTAAATGCAGATTTTCGTTGACTACTCAATTATATCTAGGTTCATAATTTTTTTTTTAAAAAAAAAAAAAAAAAAAAAAAAAAAAAAGAAGGTAGAAAAACAAGTTTTTGAAGAAATTTTGAAAGAGTTTCTCAAGCGAAAATGTACTTCAATATAAGATTTTTTGGCAAAGAATTAGGAAATGCAGCCTGAATAAAAAGATCCTATGTAGGTAAGTAGCTTGGCAGTTGCTACCTGCTTGAAGTATAATATCGATAAAAAGAGGGGAAAAGTACAGACTTACCTAGAAGGTTGTAATATAAGCAAGCTACAGAATCCATTTTAGGAAAACTTGTCTACATATTCACAAGCGCATATTTTCCCGATTGCTGTAAGCCATTATCAGCTCCTGCAACAATGATGACGAAACAGGAAAATATTAAAACTAAGAAGAAAATATTAAAAGAAGATATCAGTCTAATTTTGGCATTGATATATGGGGTGCCGCCCTCCCCCTCCACCCATCAAACGGCGCAGTTATAAAGTTCAGTGATCCGATGTCTAGGGATCAAGGGTTTTTCAGACAATCTGGGGATTTTTTTTAATAAGGTAAAAGTACGCAAAATTCGACTCTTTCACCTCAATTTTAGCTTCGACTAAGGGAAATAATTTTTCATCCATATTTTGTAGGTCTTATTGACAACACTATGTTCCCCGTAAATAAGCCGGAATTTAAAACGATTGCTCCACTCGATATACAGGGTGTTAGAAAAGTCTCCTCCCCCCATCTAACTTTTTACCTAATTGAGATAGAGATTTGAAACTTGGAGAACGTTTCTAGGTCAAAGGGAGCTACGTTTTGACCCCCTAATATTTTTAGGGGGGGTGGGGGGGTAACGGACCCCAACTTTTTATTTTCAATTGGGAAGACCCCTCTTGTCAACCTCCCCTGGGGAAGACCCATCATTCGAAAGAGCATAAAAAAAGAAAACTTTTCGCGCAAATCCGAAGTTAATACCTCAAACCGTTTCAAAATGGCGGCCAGTTAAAGTTCAAGATGGCCGAAAATTGACACTTAGGTTTTTTGTCGATGGATTTGCCTGAAACTCGGTACTAGAGGGTATTTCAACCCGAAAAAAACGAATTTGACGTTAGATTGTCATCAAAACCCAAATTGTCAAAAAAGCGGCTGGTTGATCTCGATTATTTGCCCATGGATTTGCCTGAAACTTGGAACCTACAGGTATTTTGGCATGAGATTAATAAGAAATTAGATTTCTTAAAAAAAAAAAAAAAAAAAAAAAAAAAAAATTCGGCCATTTAGAACTTCATTCAGCCGGCATTTTGACAATTTGGGGTTTTTCCTTACTCCTCCATACTCTCTGATTTGAAGGAAACTCGATTGCGAAAAGTTGACATATAAGCGTCCAGCCCACTTACAAACTAGAGGCTTCAAAGAAACTCATCGACTGCCCCGACTTAAACCGCTGGCCAATGAGAGGGCCAGGAAAGGCAGGAAGAGAGCAGTAACTGCTCTCTTCGCTATGCTTTGCTATCACGGCAGATTTAAACGTCAAATCTTTGGACGACCCAGGCGATCATCTATCTAGGGGGTACCTATTGCCCAGACTAGGGTAACCTCGAATTCCAGTACTTATTGCTTTTACCTTTCATTCTCTCTGGTCGTGCTGCAACAATCTGACTTCGAAATCAAAGATTATTTTAAAAAAAAAACAAGAGATTATTGAATTATAAGACTCATAAGTTCTAGTAGCATGTGTCTAAATTATTTAAGACCCAGCACAAAGCTTGAAAGTTCAAGAAGAATGACTACAACTTGATCCCAATTTTTCTAATGGGATGTCTTTAAGTGCAAGAGGGATAATGAGCTACAGTCTGCAATTTGGAACTACAATTTCTAGCTCTGTAAAAACACACTTGCGCCTAGGAAATCTAATGGTATATGCGTTTTTTCTAAACTGAGCTAGAAATTACAGTTTTTAATGGCAAAATGTAATCCAATTCACAGTAGGAGAGGAATATCTGTAACTGCCAAGCGAGATAACTCGTGCTTGGTCGCATCAAGGACATTTTGCCGAACCGTACTTTTTTTTTGGATCGAGTCTTGGAGCTTCAGGAATTTCCTTTCTTACCGGTTTAGTGTAAAAAGGTAGAACATTGTGCTCGCTACAACTTATGCTTCGTCAATTATATCAGAACTTCTTTTAATTTTCATAATAGGGATGGACGAGTACCGAATTCGAAATTTCGAAACTTTTCGAATGCGATTATTGCGATTATTTGAGAATTCGAATCTTGCGATTGCGAATACTTCGGAAGCGAATATTCGAATATTTTCGATTATTGCTTCGATTTTTGATATTTTATGTACCGTGAGAGATAAATGACACTTTTAACTAAGACGGTCAGTCATTCCCGTGCGGAGTTGTGGACTAGTTTTAATTGATAACGAGATTGACGGTAGGGATGGACGGTTATCGAATTCGAATGTGATTATTCGAATTTGCGATTGCGAATACTTCAGTTCTCTTTTTAAACTGCATCTACTTATGCACATTGTCCTCCAAGCCCCTCACATGAAGGCAAGGATCCGGCGAAAGTAACGCGCACTTATTTTACTGGTTATCTCCCGGTTCAGAGTAATGACTGGATAGTTTCAAGCCACGCAGCTCTCAAAACTATTAATAACCATTCCTTGGAGTTATTCTTGGCGCTAGGGAAAAAATGTTTCCCGAGAATGATACACTTTGTCGGTCAGTAAGTGTAGGCCATCGGTGCCCATCCCCCTGAAAACTTTTGAATTCAAACGAGTGCCCCCCCCCCCTAATCTTCAGTTATCCACCCCTCTCGCCGGGGAAACTGTCGAGGAGTATGGAATAACCCCAGTCTACGGGGGGTTCGGGGGGCCTTCCCCGAGAATTTTTGAAATTTTTGATGTCCTTTGGGGCAATTTGAGACAGTTCTTTCAGATTTGTATTTACATTTTGCATAGTTTCAATTCATTTCTTTTTGTGTGAAGAAAATTAGCTTTGAGAGTGGCTCCACAAAAAACACACGATGAATGCCAACAAACTGAATAATAAGGACAAATCTGTACTTGCCTAATCTGAGCGATTATTACTCTTGATTTTTGGAATGCGGGATTTCAGATCGAAGATTGAAGAAGAAACTTAGAATAAAGTCGAAATGAGTTAGTTAAGTCATTTTCTTTTTATTGTGTCATTCGAAAGTAGTGAGTGACCGAAGCTTACAGTTTTTTTCCTAAATGTTTCTGATGACTGCAAACGGGAGAAAAGTTTATTCGAAAGTGCCAAAAATTAGGGTGGCCTAAAACGGCGTTTGAACTGTGCGCTCGTAGGTTCCGCATGTACACGTCACGATCAATATGGCGGCGGAAAGCGTAGTGGAAGAATACACGGCGGCGACGCGTTGGCGGTATGTTTTTGTTGGTCAATTGGAGGTTATGTCGGTTACTTTGTTTGAAATTCATATCCATTGTTCTTAATTCTCCAAGCTTTTCAATCAGAATGCGATACAGATGTATGTAGGATATGAAACATTCACACAGAACTTACTTAACCTCAAACGAGAAATCGTGATGTCAACAACGGCGGCGTGGCGGTAGTAAGCAGGTTGGTTTCGTCGCCGCCATCTTCCCGTTTATGACGCGGAGATGCGGTGATTCATGGCGGTTGGTTCAAACAGGTTTTCGAGGACCCCTAAAAAGGAAGCGTTATATCTCCGCGGAGACAATTTTTCGTGAAATTTTAACATGCGCATCGTTCTTCTCGTACCGAAAACTGAAAGATCCGACTATTTGCAGGCAAATCCCTCCCGAGCTTAACTGACTCATTCTAGGGGCACTAGTGTAACTAGGTCGTTTTGCAATGGCGGGCCTGGCCCCCCTGCCCTTCTCTACCCCTTTACCCCTNCCGGGGGGGGGGGGGGGTCTGGGGCTCTGGGCGTACGGAATACCTCTTAGCACAGAGGGGGGTTCAGGGGACCAGGGGAGGGGGCCTCCCAAGGAAAATTTTTGAAAATTTAAATCTATTTAGACGCATTTTGAGGCTTCCGTGACATTTTCCATCAATTTATGCAGAAAATTACACTTTTTTTCACTTTCAGCACAAAATACTTCCAAGCTGTCGCATTCAATGGATTCGGAAATGTTTTGAAATTTCAACTTTATTTGGACGTATTTTCAGACTTCCATGAAAAAGATTTTCCATCTATTTCTGCAGTAAATTGTTTTTTTTTTAATTTTTTTATGGCCTATGCGGCGTGGGAAAATACAAAGCCGAAAAATAAAGACAAATGAAGTAGGTAGGTAGTCACAAGTATGAAATGGCATTCTGACGTTTTGACTCAACGTTCTTACCAGCTAATTTTATGGTAATATTTTAGACGTTTTGAAATGTTGAAGACTGAATAACAGCCACTGCTTGTGGCCCAAAAGTTCTTCTGTTGATTCGTGATATAATTCCAAAATTCAATGCACGGTGTTTTGCTTGGAAAAAAAAATCTCTGTAGGTCCTTCCTGGTTAGGATTTGAAGAAATGGAACAACAAGTCGACTGAAATGATTGTCTAACATATAAGTGTCAACAGTTTAGCACGGTAGAACGGCAATTGAATCAGTGAAATTCCCGATCATATCAGATCGGATATAGTTTCCAGGTTCCTCCCTCGCTTCGCAAACCCATTCTGAATTGATTGACCAGCAGGTTGCGCGATATGACAACCACAAAATTTACATGATAATTGCGTTGCTGTGTGTGATGTATGTAGGTATAGTGGTATCACACCGGAGTTCTGAGAATTTTTTGAATGGTGGTGGGCAAAAATTGAGGACTTCAACCTTCCATACATGATGCGTGTGAATTGCTTTTGTAAATATTCTCACTCTATACGTTGTTAGTATCAACATCGTCATCTAAAACTCTAGTACCGGAGTATGTTTGATCGTGGAAGTCGAAAATGGAATCGTGTTCGACGTTATGAACAAACAGCTTCTCTGGGTATTGCCATATTGACAGGATGCTAGAAGAAAGGCTGCCAAAGAATGCACCATTGGATTCCTTCTGAGAGACTGCAGAGAATTTTCGCCCCCCCCCCCCTAAGTAGCAGTGATCGCGATAAATAGTGATTTTATCGGTTGGTCATCGCGATTATATTGTTGGCAATATATCGAGATATTATCATATTAAAAATTGCGATACATGGCGATTACATCGCTACACATCGCAATGATTCGGTAGAACCGTGATCATTTTTCATCGGTAAAACCGAGATTAAATCGCCATTTATCGCGATTTTTTTTTTCGAAAATATCGCGATAAATTGTCGGGCGATAAAAGCGCGATTTTATCGCAATAAGATCGAGGATAATCGCTCAGATGTTGATTAGAGTCCCTTTATACTGAGAGTCAAGACAGCACCCCCTCATGGAGTCACAAACGGGAATAAAGATTACAGAAATTGAACGTTTTTTGTAATCTTTGATCGACCCATTCTCAAATTCCTTTCTCCGTTCCTTCTCTCATTCCGTTTGTTCCTTGCTGAACCCGTAATTCCCCGGTCCATTCCAGATTATAATCTTTGCAATCGGTGAAAATATAATCTTTATTCCCGTTTGTGACACTGTGAAGGCCTAAAATACGGGAACCAATCAGAAATGGATTCACATTGTCTTGACTCTCAGTATAAACTCTAAAGGGACTCTAATGTTGATGATCCTGGCAATTTTATCGCCGATAAAATCGCCATTTATATCGATTTTTCCGTTGAGAAATGCTACTTGGGCCGTGGCGTTTTGGGACCGATAATATCTATATTGAATTCTTCGGGGTTGATTTACCCAAGAAGTTTTTGTCGTGAAGTTCCATTTTTAGCCGTCTCCGAGAAAAAGACAGTGGACGAGTGGTCTGGAACACCCGACACGTAGCGCCTTCAACCCCGAATAAATACTTCAAACAGTACAAAATTACATATCCGTTTTGTTGTGAAAATTGCCTATACTGCGCCTGTTGAAGTGAACACCGTGGTTTGGGGTGTATATTCGTCCATCTTAGATCCACAGGTCGCGCGATCGAGCATATTTTGCACGCCGGGTAAATAATTTATTTTAAATTTTTACATGAATATTGTGAAAGTGCCATCAAAAAAATGGTTATGGATGTTGAAAACACCATGAAACACACAAAACGGCCAATCGTTAGCACTGCTAAAAACGCTTAACCAGAAAATATCTAATCTGCGATGTGTTCTTTAGAAAAGGTATTCACCCTAGCACATTATTTCGAAAGAAGGGGGGGGGGAATAAGATAATCCGACCTAAAAAACTGTGCTATTCCGCCTTTTTAACGGCCATCGAGCTGCACCACGTATGCTTAAAATGCGCTAATTCCTTGTTGAATGCTACCTACGTGTCGTGGACTTGCAGTAAAGTCCTCGCTCGCGGCCAGCCATGGCCCAGGTCCTAGGTTCAAACCCGAGCCGACCCCATTGTATGCTTAAAGTTATCATCACTGCATTAGCGGCAAGTGGTATATAATATTATCCTCTAGTGCCAGTCAAGTATCGTATTGAGTATAATTTCACCAACTGGTTTATAGCAAGCATGGAATTAAACTATTTTTTACAGCACTAACATGGTAGTAAAGGCAATCACCACGATGATAAAGGGAGCTACCGCCCGGTAGTAAAAACAGGTACCACGGTAAAAAAGGCAAAGATAACTAGGTATATTTCGTATACAACTGCACATCGGCAAGGACAATCAGTATAGAGTAGTTTTCGCAAAATCAATTACCGCACCATTTCTAGCGCCACCATTATTCCACATTCCACCATATTCCTATTTCCATTTATAATTGCCCAGACGATCTTTTCTTTTTCGTGTTTACATTAACTTCGCCCCTCCCCCCCCCCTCATCGCCATCCATCCCCCAATAATTTTTAGGGGGCTGAAATATAGGGAAAGTAGGTACTAAAAGCACCAATTTCTCCCATCTAATTACCTACAAACTATGTTGAAAAACACGGATTCTCTTAGAAAACTTTCTTTAAATAAAGAAATGAGCAGCTTTCTATATTTTGAATTCTAGTTCTGAGTCGAATTTCGTCAGAACGAACGGAAATAAACTCAAATACACTAAAGATGCGTCACAAACTCACGTAAAGTTCATTCTAGGGCTTCTGATTGGCCGGCGCGGCGATGCAGTTTCAGGTCATCGACGGTCGATGCATTTTGGTGCAGAGGGGCCAACAAAATTAGACACCTGTAGTAGGTATAACAAAATACCATTTAGTAGTTAGGCAAAAATGGCGAGATCTAAGATAAGACGACTCACCCTATTTAAAATGAACGTGCTGACATCTTGCATAAAAATTTCTGATAGTGCTTCGTCGTTTTGGAGACCCAGGAAATTTTTCTTCAAAAAAATTAATTTTCAGTAATTGCTCATAGACCGTCGTCCTTTTTTACTGTTCCTCCTGTGCTCTGTAAGCCCAAACCCCGAACTTTACTAGTTTAAGGTTCCTTAGAAGAAATGGATGTTGTTTAAGATCTAACCTAACATGTGATCAGCATCTAGGTCAGCACTTAGGTCTGTTTGGAAAGCCAGTGAGGTGAAAAATCGCGATTGACCGTAAATCTGTCCAAAATTACGCTCTGAGAAGGCACCGGGTGGAGGAGTTAAATCGCGGAGGAATTACTTAGGACACGGCACGATTAAAATTTAACTAGTATTTCGGAGGCAAGATGACAAAGCTAATGAAAACGTTCACAAGGAAACTGCAGAGGCCGTGAAATTCGGCCCCTGCGCAACACAAACGTCGAGCTTGGAATTTCAGGGGAGTCTCTGAGGCAATGTGGCACGGATATATGAGGCGCGGCTGCGCGGGAATCTTGCGCACTCCAACCTCCTGAATTGATTATACGTTGCAGTATGCAGTATAGTACACCTTGCTGCGGTGGAGGGATTCGCCCTGTTTAGACACGAATGGAGCTTCCCGCAGTCGAGAAAGCATCGAGCGACCGAATGGATAAATCCCTCAATCCTTGCCTCATTCTGGCAGTCATCAGCATGGGCGGAGTTCTGATGCACATTTCTCCAAGCAGCATTTTGAAAGTGCTCTGTTAGGTACCTATTGGGATGAGGTGTTTTCAATTTAGGCTTGTGAAATACTACTATATGTATACTTGGGTACGATTAGGTATAATCGCAGAAACCTCTAGCTTATAGTTTCCCATCTCAACCATAATTGTCATCTTTCCTTTCTTATCACATTCCCCTCGTTTCTTTAATTAATGTCTACACCCAGAGATACAGAGAGTGCAAAGGTGCACAATTTATCAAACTATATTTAATGAATTTTCCCGTGATTTCATGGTTTTTTTTGTTTAAAGATGATTGATTTCATCGTGATTTTCATTCCAGCTTCGCAAGCTGAAGACCCAAACCTACATACCACATACCCTTTTGAGAGTTGGCGGATGTTGCTGGATGCTCGCCTCATGCCTTTCCACTAACTTTCATATCGGCTACTCCGCGCCTGGACGACTCGCCGCTTGTGCGGGCATAGTCGAAACAGGTACCGGGGGCGCCACTTTTCTTTTGATTTACATAACTAAATTCATTATAAGCTAACTAAAATTCTTCCAAAAAGAAACGGGCACCCCAGTTATTACAGCAGACCTCTTGAAGAGGGCGTGTGCTCCCTTCCCCCTCCCGCCGCGGTCGCCCTTAAAAAAGGATGATTAAAACGGAAGAAAGGGAGGAGGAAAGGAGCATATATTTGCTAATTTTTCATGACGAAATTGACTCAAACTACATGCTAGATGCTTATAATTTCGACAATTTTCTGAAGTAAGCCCCCCGAACTCCTGTACCCCCACCTTCTTCGAAGTATCTAGATCCGCTTGTGGGGGGCACAACCTGCTTAGCTGTGATGGCGCGAGTCCTGAACTGCTTGTGTCATACATATTTTATACGTACTTACATCTACTGGAGAATGGACTCTTTTATATTTAGCCCAACATGTAATGTCTATATTTTGTAGTACCAGTACCCTGTAACTCAAAAAAATGGGGTCTAGGGGGAAAATCCGGAGATAAAAAGTTCTCATTTTTTTCCCATAGATTTTAAATCCTAAGTCAAAACATACACTTTTCGTTTGAAAATCTTTAGAAACGGAGAGACACCCGCCCAAAAAGCCTCCAATAGACGGTTCTGGAAGGCTGACGATATTTTCATTGGATTCCCTGTAGCCGTTTCCTCGCGAGAATTGCGCCCAAAACCCCCAACTTTGAGTCGTTATCCTCGAGTTATACTGTCGCCGGGTGATCTCGCTCGATCACGCTGTATGATTCCTGAAATGGTTCGTTTTAAAAAAAATTAATTTTTCTGAAGATCCCCTGCGATTTTCTTTGATAAAGTGTCAAGGAAGTGTTTACTCCCGTGTAATAACTGTGCGAGCGATTTTTTCAGGTTCTCAGAATTTGCTTCGGAATCAAAAAGTAAAATTTAAACAATTTTTCACCTAAATTTTGCGAAGAGAAGAAAATACAACTCCTATCCTACTCAGTTAGTAAAAAGAGTACACCCATATCAAATCTAGACCGCCCAAGATTCATCTTTTGCGCGGAGGGGATTTTTTTTTGCTGCTAAAAAGTTTTGGGCAAACCTGCATACAGGATGAAACGAGCACCTTTTTCATTGATAAATCTTGAATTTCCTTTAAAAGAAATTAAAGCTCCGTATTTTGATAATGTCGCTGAAAAATAAGCATTGACTGGTTTTAATCAAATAAAAAATTGACATTTTCTGGCCAAATTTTGCAATTTCAAGAAACGGATTTATGGCAACTGCGCATGCTTTTATCAAATTGGATCTAAAATAATCTACACAGTGTATAATGGTAAGTGTTTATGTGAGTTTTGGTGATAATCGCAACTCAAAATCTACATTGCCCCGTCAGCCGCGTCATTATCGGGTACGTAACTTGGCAACACCGTATGAGGGGGTGCACTTCTTTGAGGGAGAGTTTGAAACTTTCGAGGAAACCCATTTACATGTCAACGACTAACATACATAGAATTTTAACTTAATTTGACTAGGTGGCAGTGGGTTTTGGTGGTCACACATTGGATTTTGCCGCCATTTTACCCTTAAAAATAGAAAAAGTCGAAAATAAAAAACCGGCCCCACTTACGATTTTGGGGGTCTCAGGTTCCAATTCCTCAATCTAGAGACCTTCCTTGACACTTTTATCAACAAAAATCGTGGGTGATCTTCAGAAAAATTAAATTTTTTTAAAATGAACCTTGCTGACATGTGCCATTAAGGGTGCATTGTGTGCGAACGTCATCGGTTGAATTTGTGCACGAATGTTACTCGCAATAATTACTGTGCGCCTCCATTATATGTACGAAAAATGTGCACGAACGTTATGCACCGATGGATTAAATTTGAATTCCTCTCCATCGCGACGAGTGGGATCCCCTCCTCACCACAGCATTACGCACTTAACGAAAGGCTCTCAGCAGCGACAACCAGTCCAGCGTCCGCGTCCGTAAAAGCAAGAGTCGCGCCGCGGAGAGTCGAGCGGGAGAGCAACCAGTTAACCGTTAACGGAGCTCAGCGATGGACTGGCGACTCGTTGCCAGGAGTGGTATCACGAGTTTCTCGCCAATAAGAACCGGCGTTTGAGATGAGAGGCTGGATTTTTTGGTGCGTCTGCCTTAAGGTTATCGTCGTGAGAGGCTCCCGGAAAAATTCTCAAGGAAGTCTCATCGTGCCTTCAATCGAACTTTCCGCGTCGCAAGGGTCTTCCGCGGACCGGGGTACAGGATTTTACTCGGGACTTATCCAAAATTTGAATGAGAAGTTGGACCAAGTGCAAAATGTGCCCACTTACAGATTTACGAAGGAATTATGGTTGGAAAAAGTGCGCGACCGGCCGGTGGAGTCCGCGGCATACGGTGCCACTTACCACGCTACTTTCGGCAGTGTTGTGAAAAAAGGCATGGATTTGTTCAAAAGCCATTCGCTTCTTTGGAATTTCGCGCCAGGGTTGGATTTAAAAGTCGGAAGCGAGACTTCAGGAAGATTCGACGCCACGGTTCAACCTAGTGCCATAGGTATGTAAATGGGGTTTCTCTTACCATTTATGGTATTTCATGCACAAAGGAGGTAGGTATAACTCTTATTAAACTTTTATGCTCTATACAGTATCACGTAAGGGGTGTCCCATGGTTAAACCCCCACACTCCATGGGCGTGTTATAGGGGTCAAAATCATGCCCAGATTTCCGGATTTCACTTTTTGACACCCCGAGGCAAGTAGAGTTTTTGTCGCCCCCATTTATGATTGTTTCAGCGGAAAAAAATTACACACCGACGGAGTGGGAGTCCGGGGACCTCCTCCCAGACAATTGTCAAGAATTGATGCACTATTTTATCAATTTTGACCTATTTTTCGTCATATCATACCCGCATTACTGTTACTGGACTCCTCTCCCCATTTGCAAATCTTCCGAGATTGAAAATGAAGCAAGCTTAACTTGCCTTCGAAATTATTTTTAGGGTTTATATAAGAAAATTATTTGAGGGAAAAGTCAGTGAAGTTATCAATGGATCACTCTTATTATTTCATCTTCTAGAAATGTTTTTTTCCGAACAGGCCCACTCCATACAGAATGGAAGCCTTTCCCAGTTAAACCGAATTGCAGCGACGCACGGTAGTGTCTCGATTCACTGTGTTGCGGTTCCTTTCATTCTTTCTTTTCCTTGAGCAAGCATCGACGATGTTGATATTAGGTACTGGAATACATGTGTTTGCGCTACGTCTTGCAGCTAATTTTGAATGTTTGGCGGAGAGAAACAAAACTTCTCCCTTTCAAGTGGGGCTAATCCGAGGGTGAAAACGAGATTTCTTCCTCTAGGAACCCCCAAAAATTAAAGGAGAAAAGGGTGTTATTTCATCACGGAAACAATAAAAAATTGCGTTCCAGGATTACTTAATTATCAAGATTATTCCAGCAGAGGACCTCGAACCAACCTCGACTGACAAAGATCGATAACCCACTCGACACCCCTCTCGTTTTTCAAAATTTCTCCCCACACGCCACCGTTGATCTAAAGGTGTCAACGTGGCCTGTTGGCCGTTGGGATTTAAAAATCCCCCCCCCCTTCATCTCCTCAAGAATAAACATGGAGACATCAGATGTATTGACGAGGCCTCAACTGCTACAAAGGAACCCAATACTTTTAAAACCGACATAGGTATTACGTGCAATCTTTGTAAACATGAGTTGAAGCCCGTATTTCAAGTTTGAAATCTGATTAGACTCTCATCTGACTTATCTTGGATCCGAAAAGGAGGGATTGACCTGGGCCCGTTTAGGGTGCGTACCTACTCAAGAATGGACCCCACTCATTTTTTGAAATGAGTAAGGACTCAGCCTCAAAAGAGACAGAGCTGAAGATCGATTTCCAGTCAAAATTTTGGAATTTCTCTTTGGAATCATAGGTGTCATTTCAGGCATGTCTCATGATGCGGATTGGCATCGGGACAACATTTGTAAGCTCCTCTAAATATGCTCTCAATTGACATAGATTTACTCCATAAAATCAACTAAAATGTACGTACTGACAATGAAGCGGCAACGGAAAAGAGTAAAATCAGGGTGTCCGGTGTCTAGCATCAGAATTTTCCCGATTCTATCAGGATTTGAGATCCATCTGGATTTAATCATGATTCCATCAGGATTTGAAGAAAAATCGGTCGTAAAATCAGGATTTGAGAAAAATAGGCCGTCCGATCGGATTTTTTCATCGAGCTATTTTTGTGGAGTTACATTCGCCTCTTTTTTCCGCAAAAAATCAGGATTTGAAAAAATTATGAAATCAGGATTTCCCAAACTGAAAAAAAAACAAAAAAAAAACTAGAAACCCTGAAAAAGTGTTTTTGTTATTTTCTGTTAACTTTATACGTAATACTTATTCAAATATTACTTCAGAGAATGACTTTAAATAAATCTACATTTATTCAGAATGTTCCCTGGATTGAAAATTATCAACAACCCATTAACGTATCCGATGAAAAAGTAATAAATAGCCGAGTGACAACTTTTCTCCTTAAAAGAGCTCGTTTGAAACGGGTCGTTTTAAAGTTCAAATATACAGGGTGATTCAAAAGTCCCTATCGCCCCCTCAAAGATTTGAAACTTTGGGGATGTTCCTAGGTCAAAGGAAATTACTTATCGCCTCCCCCCCTAAATTTTTCAGGGGCCCCTTTTTGGGGGCAACGGACCTTAACTTTTTTTTCAAATAGGAAGACCCCCTTTGTGGTATCTTGTTCGAAAGAGCATATAAGAAGAAAACTTTTCGCGCAAAACCAACGTCAATATCTCAAATCATTTCGGCCGGCAAAAGTTCAAAATTACCGAAAATTGACACCGGTTTTTTATCAATAGATTTGAGCGGTAACCGGTATCTAGAGGTATATAGACACAAGACAAACGAATTTGACGTTAATTTTTTTTTTTTTTAAAAAAAAACCTCGAAATTTCCTGAATGAACGCCGGTTAAAGTTCAAAATGACCAAAAATTGCCACCGTAGTTTTTTGCTGATGGATTTGCCTGAAACTTGGGACGTAGGGGTATTTTGACGTGAGATGACAAATTTGAAGTTAGATTCCTTTAAAAAAAAAAATTGGCCACTTTGGAAATTTTTTTTCTTAAAAATCTAACATTAAATTTGTTTTTCTCGGGTCAAAATCGCCCCCCCCCCCCCCCCCCGCTACCGAGTTTCAATCAAATCCGTCGACGAAAAACTGAGGTGCCAATTTTCCGTCATTTTGAACTATAACTGGCCGCTATTTTGAAACGACTTGAGATTTTGACCTCGGGTTTGCGCGAAAAGTTATTTTTATGTTTTTTCGATTGAGGTATCACAAAGGGAGTCTCCTCATTTGAAAGAAAAGGTAGAGTGCGTCCCGTCCCCCCCCCCCCCCCCCCNACTAAGAGGACCCTCGAAAATTTTAGGGAGGCCAAAAAGTAGCTTCCTCTGACGTAGGAACATCCCCCAAGTTTCAAATCTTTACCTGAATTGGGTAAAAAGTTAGTAGGGGGTGGAAGGGACTTTTGAATCACCCTGTATAGAGTAGAGCTCGGCTTAAAAAGCATTTCAAAGGAATGACATTTTCAAAATTTCCCGAGGGTGCGGGAGCCGAAATCCATTCTCTTTTTTAGAAAAAACCTAGCAGGTTTCTCTTAAAAGGGCTCTCAAATCATGGTCGCCTCCTGATATTTTCGATGCCAGTCTGCCTCTGCTGACAGGAGCGCGTTACTGTATCTTCGTTTGGATACTTATAATCGGTTTCTATTTTTAAAGAAAGAAAAACTGAAAATATTTTAAAATTATTCCAGAGACATTTAGTAGGTTATCATTTAGTAGTGTAAGTATCGTCAACAGTGTTGGCGGAAACATTGATGCGAAATCAATTTTTAGTAAAACCTTTAACATGGTTCCGAAAATATTGCCGCAATATCGTCAAAATATTTTTATTATATTTTGAAAGTTTAACGACAACATTTGCACAATTTTTTAAAAACATTTTCGTGTTGGGCTAACTGGAAAACGAGGGGGAGATCACCTTGAAAGTTGGGACCCTAATCCTCATTTTGAGATCATTCCATCTTTGATCGCACGGGACACGGGACACTTTGCGAAGAATCGAAAGGTAAATCGACACATCTCCTGTGAAAACCAGGGGAGAAAAGGAAGGGGAGGGAGGTGATTAAAAGAATTAAAACAAATAATTTTTCTGCGTACTTTTTTATTATTCTTATATTTCTTTTATTTTGGTAGTCTCAAATTGGGAAGGTGTTACATTGTTAGACCTAAAAGATATGCAGTTGTTTTCCTTAAAGGTGCCAATTCTGGTTCTGGACATTTCTCCGACGTTATGGTGCCGAATGATACCACAGTTGCACGCAAAAAGAAAGTATCACTTGTTCTTATGCCCTTAAAACATCACATAAATTGAGTTGCCTCACTAATCTGACATCAAATCCGAGTTCAGCGCTCCAAAAATTACCAGTCAACTTAATTGTGTGACTTCCGTTAGAATTTAGGTCAAATATTAATTATTCTTGCACAGCAGGTACTACTCCTGGCCCACCGTGCATCGTGCCGGCTCGAAATCAGATCCCAGTTGTGGCGCACTGTAGTCCAAAAACGTCGAATGGGCGCAAAGTTCACTCACGATGCTGATAAGTGATTGTTGTAGGCTGTTACAGTATTAGTTTTGCTACTGGGGTGTTTGTAGTGGCAAATCATCTGACAACATCCGATCTCTTGGAGGACTTATACGGAGCTATTGAGCCGCGACAAACAACGTAACAACATCGGATCTCTTGGAGAAATAGGTTCAGCCATAGAGCAACTTTTTGGGAATGGCCTGGCCCCCCTTTTCCCAGGAGAGGTTCGGTAAGGGGGGATGCTGATAAGGGCCGTTTGGGTACACCTTGAGTTACCTCAGTCTAACAATTTTTGACTCATTGAAGGAATTCAATTATGATTTTCGGTCTCTTTTGTGATTGATACCGATCTGAAGGCCGATTTTGGCGAATAAAGTGCGAATTTTCTGACATACGACGGACTGCTTTATAACGACCCCGTCGCATGCCAAAAACCCTGCATCTTTCGCGAAAATCAGCCTCAAGACCATGGGTAGGCCAGTATTAGACCCAAAAAGAGATCAAAAATGACCAAATCATAATCCCATTTCGTAGAATATAAACCCTCAATGAAAACAATCTTGGGGTTGAGGATTTTGATGGTGGGCTCAAAAACGGCCCTCATCGATACTCCTCCTTTCGAAAAATATTAACGATTTCTCGAATAATAATTTTTGTGGGTTGGATTCGCAGCCCCTGAAAAATCGTTGAACTTTAATGGAAAAAGAATTTTCACTGTTCAGCAAAATGAAATTGCATTTTGCATCTCTGTCTGGCCCCCTAAGGGCTATCCCCCATTGAAGAGGACATGCCCCTAGATACCTACACGGAATTTACTTTGTCTGTCATGACTATGAACTTGAACTGTCTAACTGTGCATGCGGTTCTGTTACAGACACGAGGACGTTTGGTAGATTCGGAATGCGTCGACGAATTGTATTTGCCTTACTGCCGATCATGTACAAGATGGGCGTGATCACAACCCTCTTGGTCGGTCTCACAGTGTTCACCCTCAAGGGACTCACCATCGGCGTCGTCCTGCTCTTCCTCACACTCACGAGCACGATCCACAAGCTCAAGTACGGTTGGAGCTACGGCGCCCACACAGCCGCTGCTGCGCCAGCCAAGAGTGTGCACATCCACATCCACAGCGGTGGAGGAGGGCCCGGGCTCGGATTCGAGCACGCTCAGTATGGTCAATCGGTTCACGCCGGCGGCGGTGACTGGGAAAGGCATGCGCTTCCGCCGTTCAGTGGGCCAGACATCCAGTACCATCATCCCACCACGGATGGCTTCCGTCCTACCACTGCAGGATCCTCCAGTTACTATTACCATTAATTAATTAATTCCCAACTAGCATGTGAAAAAAACATCGACTCTGCGAACCGAACAATCAGTAGGTAAGTAGGCGTTTTTTGGTTCTAAAGATTGAGTTCCTATACAGTAAAAAATTGTAACATTTATCGCCGCGTTCTACTCGCGGGATCGCTCTAAATAACAGGACGGAGATGAAGAAAAACCAATAGACGAATATACTCGACTTATAGGTGTAGAGATGTATATATCCTTATAGTCGACGTATTTTCGCCTACTTAGTGGTTTCTTCGTCTGTGACCCAAGTTTTTAATCCCAAAATTTTAAGTGATCTTGCGGAACGTCGAACGAATGGCGTCTCACTCGACGTTTTTATTTTTTAATGCGTAGTCAAACGAGTCTGTCGCCTCAGAAAACCGAACTGAATTCCAGTTCGGAGAACCGGTGGTTCAGTTTTACGAACCGCAAAACTTTACTTACTCTATATAAACTCTTTATATGTCGACCGAAGTTTTCCCGTTTGGTAAACTGAAACTTTCGGTTCGTACAACTGAACCTTCATAGCTGTACCAAATGAAGCTGTCGGTTATCTTATCTGAGAGCTCAGTACCTACTTGAACCGAAAAGCGCCTACTGCACTCGCTATTTCGTTCGTATAACCGAATGCGAAGTTTTTACTCGCTCATTTTTCTCCACGCGGCACCAGATTGCATACCCCTGCTAAAAAAAGGTGAGCAGGCCGAAATACTTACATCAGTAAAAATTGAGGTCACGAAACCAAAGTATTCCATAGATATGTAAGGAGAGGGCATCTACTCATGTCAGTGCCTACAACTGTTTTTTCTTTTTCGCTTACCTAAGGTACTGTATCTGATCAGGGAGTCATCTTCATATTATGTACAATTCAAAAGTAATCTATTTTTGGATCCAGAATTATGTATTTTTGATGTGATAAGTTTCGAAAATGTCAGTACCACACTGTCGTAATATCGGCAGGATCTCTACTTTTATCACTTAGGTAGTTGGATCTTTAATCGTAAGCATGGATCAAAAAAGATTGGAATTGAGAGATCATCAGGTGTACGGATTTTTCCTCGTATGAGCAGAAATTTAATTGATAACAGTATTGACGATCAAATTAATATCAGCAGAATTAGTTACCTTTTTCTACTTATCATTTTCGGCAGGGATGAGCAAGCTAACTCTCTCAAAGTTTTCGAGAATACTTCTCCTCGTACCTCATACATCGTCATTTGAAGAATGGAATTACGAAATATGTTAGTTGCCAGAGATGCGTGCATGGTGATGTACTAACCGCACGTTAATTTATACAACTACAGTAGGAGCTTTTTATCGAAATTTATTTTCTAAATTCTGGTCTTGATTTTTGGACAATAATTGTGAATTATTCCGTTCAATTCTCGTTCAATCAGAGAGTCGGCTCGGTCGCATTACTTCAGCAACAACCAATGCCACTTGGGATGTTAATATGTAAGTTTCAATCATCGTTTATATTTTAATGAGAAAAATAAGTCTTAAAGACATCAATAAGCTTCGTGTGCTCAACTATAAGTAAATTGTGTTTCCTACCTTAATTTTACATTTTTTGCATGCGAAATTTTCTTTCACCACCGTGCGATGGGAGCGGAGGTTCGAAATTGTAGAAAGCAAGCCAACAATGTAAGTAGGGCAAAAAAATTGCACTGGATTCTTGGGCGGCTCTTGGTTTTTTTTCGTGTCACGGCAGTGAATGCATAAAGTACTTTTAAAGGACCCAATGCTCCATTTTTTTGCTTTCGGAAAGTTCACACGCACTGCGTAAAGGCCATGGAGATCCAAAACTTTGCAGAAGGAAAGTTAGTGCCCTTGGGAAGGAGGGAAGATTAACTACACGCAGATTTTTCATTAAGTACACGCAGATTTTTCATCGTGAGACCAGTGATATCAATTACCATCATGTAACTCGGAACAGCTTCCTTAATTGGAACAATTGGGGATTTTTTCGTCTGCAGTTTGTGGTAGACCTGTTCATTTTTATCAATGTTTGTTTGTTTTTACGTTCAGATCTCACCAGCTCTAGGTTTAAGGCATGGAATGAACGAGGACAAACATTTTTTTTGTCGGTAAATCCTATTCTTTTTGTTTAATTTCTTCCCCTTTCATTGAAAATGTGTTTATAATTGTTCCTGCCAGTGCAAACTTCTACTGAACAATCGGCATGGATGACAGTGCTTCTTTGAAGTTTCTGTTCATCCGTTCATAGCTTTCCACGGATGAAAACCTTTTAAAATTCCGAAATAGCATTTATCTTGGAACATGTCATGTTACCTACTTATTAGCAACTAATATTTTTTGCTCCCTTTTCCAGCATTACCAATTAGTAACTAAGTTTCACCTAGAAAAATTCGAGGTTTATCCACTTTGAATTTAAAACTTTTAAAGTTTTGCCATTTGTACTACTTTTCTACTTCGAAGAATGGAAAACCCGGAATAGTGTACTTTGGCTGTTTAATAAATAGATGTTACAGTTTAATTTTTTTTTTTTTTTTCATCTTCGATTGTTGTAATACTTTTTTTAAAAAATTAAAATACTTACAATTAGTTTTCCAAGTAAAACTTTCGTAGATCCTGAACCGATATTACATAAAAAAGGAACAAGTTCACCAAAATCCAAGGCAGGTTAACTTGGAATATCAGGTTCTTTAAAGAGAGAAAAATAAAGTAAAATAAAACACAGGTCTGCAAAGACCTCATAAGTATATCATCGGACTCTTCAGAACCCTACCGGAGTATCAGAACAGTTTTCAAGTCTCCACTTCAAAGTGTGAATTTCGCACAGTACTGAAAACTTCATAAGTTGTCCAAGTCAGATGATTTAGACTACGACGGAGGATGTAGGTACAGGCGGTTAACGTTTAAAAAATAATTGAGGTAAATCTTTGGCGCATGTTTTGATAATTACCATATTGGCGGCGCCGCTGCATAAAAATTCATCAGGTACCTACTAATAGGGTCACAACAGACTAACAATAGTGGTATCAATAATGTGAGCTCTGTTTGATCCCTTGAATTGTCATTTCTTGGCACAATTCGTTCTACTGGGCTGATTTCCATGACTTTTGCGAATATCAACAGGTCCTTAGATGAGTCCGTTCTGTTTAGATTTTGGAAGTATGACTCATTTTTTTTTAGATTTTTATATTTACGCGATATAACTGTGAATGTTCCAATTATTTTATTTAAAAGCTCAATTTTTTCATAGCTCAGTCTGAAGATCTACCGCACCTATTTGTGTGATTTTTATGGCTATCGATAGGAAACAGTCTCTAGATAAGCTCGCTACTTACAATTAGATTAACCTGCCGGGGCCCCGAAGCGTCCTGTGGAGGTTGGGCCTCGTAGCGGTCAGCGGGCGCACCCCCTAATTTTGGAATATGAAATGATACTATTTAGTAACGAAGTGACAATTTGTTTATTATTATATTTATGTATAACTGGTTATAAACAGTGTAGGTAGTATAAAGACTCTGAATAGCTTAAATTCGGAGCTCATTTAGAACATCACCAATGTGATAATTCTAACCTAAGTTTTCCTCGGTTTTCTTTCGCTTTAAAAAATAAGATTTCTGATTTTTTCAAGCACAGCAGTGCAAGGTAAGACGCATCCGGCTACGAGGTGAGTGTATTTTCGACACCGAAGAGTGTTTTAGGTCACTTTTAGTACCGAACCGGGCTGGGCCGCTTGCGTCGCTCGCCACGTTGTTAGCACGTGCCATTCTTCGTCCTAAATCTCACTCTTTGTGTGTTCCCAATGCCCAATGACGAGTATCACGTACTTTCGTTCAAGTTCATGACTCCATACTGATGTCTCTAAAGTAAATCTTCGGTGCCTCGTAGTAAGGACGCACAGAGGATGCGTCACGCTAAGGTTTTGGACCTCAAAAGCCGGCAAAAACTATTTTTCAACGACAGTTGCTAAATTCAACGAAGTATTTAGAATGAACATTCCTCTTCGCGTGATAGTATGTAAAATCTACAGTTGCATTGTCAGGTGTTAACCGCATAGCCCTACATTTATCTGCCTGACCGATGTAACTCGTTTTAAAAGAATTAAAATCGATACCTTTCACAAGCTGAAGGTAGTGAGAGGGGAGAGGGAGGCGAAAAGTCCAGGTCACTTTCTGTCGTCTTTTCAAAATGGTAGATACGTTTAGGAGAGCCGCCCCCCCCCCTAAAAAAATCTAGACGACCTATGCACGGATTAGCTTTAAATTTACGGTTTTCTTGAAACGCTTAACGTGATCAACAACTTCCTGAAATTTTTCCAGATTAGGACTATCATTTTAAAAAAAAGTCGTTCCCTCCTCATCTATTTTTTTCCTAATTGAGGTAAAGATTTTAAACTTGGTTGACCTCCCGAGGTCAAAAGGAGCTAGTTTTCGTGCCCTAACAATTTCATGGGAGGGCAACAGACCCCAACTTTTTTTCTTTTTTTTTCAAGCGGGAAGACCTCTTTTGTGTCACCTCTTTCGAAAAAACTTAAAAAAGACACATTTTTGCGTAAACTCAAAGTAATTATCTCAAACTGTTGCAAAATGAGGTCGATCAGAGGTAAAAATGGTCGAAAATTGGTACCTCGGTGTTTTGCCAAAGTATTTGGCCGAAACTCGATTCCCGAGATGTTTTGGAACCAAAAAGGTGAAATTGACGACACGTTTTTAAAAATGGTGACCAGTTATGATTCAAAATGATTAAAAATTGTGTAGAGAAAAAAAATCTGACGTCAGATTTTTTTGACGTCAGACAACCCAAAATTGTGTCAAATTCGTTTTTATCGTACCTAAATATCCCCTCCCCCTCAAATTACGGAGTTCAGCCAACTTCATCGGCAAAAAACCGAGGTACCAATTTTCGGCTCTTTTGAACTTAAACCGGCCACAATTATGAAACCTTAAGGTACAGTACCGACAAGTGACGTTTTATTTAAATGTACGGTATCGACGAAAAACGCAGACCTTATTTTAAATACGCATTAAAAAAATGCTCCCGTTGGTAATTCGTCTTCTTAAAAACGATTGGGAAAGCTGGTGGTATACCTAACCTCACATACCGCATAACTTGCTAAGACTTCTTTTGTTGACTCATACGGTGAACTGATACGAAAATGTCAGTATAGCCTATGTACGTAGAAATGAACCGACTTTCTTGGACATACTTAATCATGCCGAAGTTAGACTACGTTCAGTAGACATACGAAGTGATCCTAATGACCCCTCGACCCCCTCTAACTTTATTTCTAATCGAGATAAATGTTTCAAAGGCTCAGTGGACGTTCCTAGGTAAATAACGGGAGCTTCTTTTTGACCACCATAAATTTTTAGGAGAGGCTTCCCGGGGGAGGGGGAGGGGCTAACTTTCTTCTCTCTTTTCTAACTTCTTTAATAAAAGGACCCCTCTTGCGATACCCTGTTCACAAGAAAAACAAAATTCGTGCAAACCCGAAGTCATTATCTCAAACCGTTTCATAATTGTGGCCGGTTTAAGTTCAAAAGCCGAAAATTGGTACCTCGGTGTTTTGCCGGTGAAGTTGGCTAAACTTCGTAATTTGAGGGGGAGGGGATATTTAAGTACGATAAAAACGAATTTGACACAATTTTGGGTTGTCTGGCGTCAAAAAAATCTAACGTCAGATTTTTTTTCTCTGCACAATATTTTATCATTTTGAATCATAACTGGTCACCATTTTTAAAAACGTGTTTTTTTTAGAAATCTAACGTTAATTTCACCTTTTTGGTTCCAAAACATCTCGGGAATCGAGTTTCGGCCAAATACTTTGGCAAAACACCGAGGTACCAATTTTCGACCATTTTTACCTCTGATCGACCTCATTTTGCAACAGTTTGAGATAATTACTTTGAACTGCGCAAAAATGTGTGTTTCTTAAGTTTTTTCGACAGAGGTGACACATGAGAGGTCTTCCTGCTTGAAAAAAAAAAAAAAAAAAAAAAAAAAAGTTGGGGTCTGTTGCCCTCCCATGAAATTGTTAGGGCACGAAAACTAGCTCCTTTTGACCTCGGGAGGTCAACCAGGTTTAAAATCTTTACCTCAATTAGAAAAAAAATAGATGGGGTGGGAAGGACTTTGGGACCATCCTGTATAACTGTGGACGAAAAGTCCTGGAACCGATCCAAGAGTCATTTAGGGAAAGTGGAATGTGTGTATGTGCCTCGCTCCGATCGTGAGTTCCCAAGCGTCATTCATCCAGCCATCAAGCTCCCACGTACTGAACTCCCCGTTACTTAAAGCTACGGTTCCACAAGTAGCGGGCGGCGCAAGTCAACGACGCGACAGAGGCATACGACCCGGCCGGGCGGAGTGGAATAATTATTCTATACGTAAATTCGAGATTTAGTGTTTGCGTCATTCTTGCGATATTCCACAAATCGATTTTCGATGGTCCCAATCATAGCAAGAGAAAATATCCTCCAGGTAAAAATTCTGCGTCCAATTTATTGTGTCAGTCAATTACGAGTTTGCCAATAATAAAGATCATATCCTTTTTATTCTGATAATATCATTTTTAAGACGTCCGATGGACGGGGTGAGGAAGGAGAGTGAGACGGTCCAAAAGTCGAATTCCAAAGAAGGAATCACAATTCAGAGTAAGGAGAAAGTCATTAAGAATATTGTTTGGTACATCTTTTTTTTTTGTTCAATTAAAATTATTCGCTCTCGCTGACCGCGCAGAGCCGGCAGCGCCCCGGGGGTTGGGCTGCGTAGCGGCCAGAGGGCTAAGCCATAGTTAGATGAATGGCTGATTTACACGGTATAATTTACTAGGGGACTATGCCCCCTGGCCGCCGCGAGGTCCAACCCCCAGAGGGCGATTCGGGCTCTCTTAGGCCTGCTTCGACATAAGAGCGACCAAAAAAATGACAAGATGTTCATACCCGACTCTCATTAGTCCAATCTCTCTCTGGCCCGCAGAGATTTGAACCAATAAGAATCGAATAAAAAAAATGTACCTCAAACTTCACGCCAAGACTAGACATTTTTAGTAATTTAGTCTCCTCCTGCAATAAAATGCATAAGATAGGTAATTGATTTTAGAGAGGTTCGTCAAAAAATGAAATAAGGATGAGTGATTATATTCTGCGGAAACTCCAAAATCAAGTGACCAATTCGAGAAACCACACGTATCCACTCGAAACAACGATTGGGGGGGGGGGGGGTTNGGGGGGGGGGGGTTTGAACAAAATAACTAAAGCAAAGTGAAAAGTACCCTCTTTATGCTGTAAGCATACCTTAATAAATTATATACACTTTTTTGGTCCTCCTAGATAATCAGGTCGGATGTTTTTTGGAAACGTCCAGTCATAAGCTTCCTCATTGAAATTTCACGTATAACACGGTTTTTACAACGAAAATTACTGAAAGTAAGTCCCAACCAAATTATAAACGTGTTTCGATGCATAAATCCAAACTTCCCACGCATAGAACAAACAATATTTTACCTACTAGAGTTGAATTGCA